TGTCTCGAACCCGTGGGCTCAGGCAATCCACTCACCTCGGCCTCCCAAAGCCCTGGGATTACAGGCTGAGCCACCAAGCCCGGCTTAAAATTGCAGTCTTGAGAAATAAAGTGAAAATATCAGTAAGCATCCTTTAACAGGTAGATAAATTTTTTAATGACCCTCCTCAAATTTATTGTAATTTACACCGCTCTCCCCCAAATTTTTGAAAAACTGGAAGATCCCAATTCTTTTTATTTATTTATTTATTGCTTTTATTTTAAAGATGGGTACAACTCAGGGTTAGGTATATAAACAGATTCCAGTTTTTACCTGTCGTGAGTATAACCGTGATCAGGCCTGCAGCATTCCATCAATGTCTTTGCATCCCAAGTGTCTGCTTTACTGCCACACAGGAGCTGATCCAACTGTGAGTTTAAACAAGGGTTAAGAATGACTATGGAAACATGTGCCTGAGTGAAAATAAAGATCTATGCGTACCAAATAAAACTATCAGTTTCAGTACCAAAACCTTCTGCTTGGGACCATTTCATAAAGTGTGCTCTTCGAATATATCTACAGATTCCATTTGCTTTTTATTTGTACACTAGAGTAGGTACGTTTGCAAGGACTAGGTTCTAGAAGAACCTTTAATCTCCAACAAAATATACCTGATACAGATCCTTGATATCAGTTTTCCAAACTTCTCATTACTTAGAAGCTTTAAACAGATAATCTTCATCTAATCAGGGAGATTTTATAAATCCTGATATACAGAAACACAAAAGTATACAATAACGGAAACCAAGAGATAGAAAACTGGAGACAAAAGTGGGAAAAGCAAGATGAACTAAGATACAGTAATGAGTAGTCTTTACACTTTGTAAAGAGAGACATGTCTATGCCCTATGCTGTTTGTATGAAGACGAAACTAGACTACAGAATCAATATTAGACAGCAAAGAAATGCTTTTATGTCCTTAGAAAATCTAACATCAGTTTCAAATTAAACCATTTTTTTCTCCAGCTAACTACCCGTTTGTGGAAGACTTTATACTTTGGGAAAATCCACTTTGGGGCAAATGAAATTTAGTATCTGCTATGTATCACTCACTATTCAGTACCTAATGTATCTGTTTAATTTTCGTTATCTTGAAATATAGGGGTTATCCCAATTTTACAGATGAAACAGTCCTATCAGATACAGTAATATGAATACGGTTATATAGTTAAGTAAAGACCAGGATTCACTTCCACAGGCAACACTTGCTACCTTCAATTTCAGGTGACATATAGTGCCTAAAAGTACCAAGCATACAACATTCTTGAATAAGTAGTAAATCAAAGTGGATATAAAAATAATTGAGATCAAAATGCTATTCAAAGTCATTCATTCAAAGATTTCCACATTCAGTCGATAATGACTGTGGACTTGAAAAAACTAACAAGAATTATTATTCAAAAATTAAACAAGCAGCTTTCCAACGGAACCTAACAAAATCTGGGTCCTTTCTATGACATCTGACTACCAGTGAGGAGTTCTTTGAGATTCTTGTTGCACTTCAAGTAAAAATGGCTGGATAAAACCATGCATATAAATTCATTTTTTTCATTCTCAGAATCATTCCTTGTATTTCACAATTAGATATTTGCAACATTTCCTTAACACTTCAAGGATTATGAAACAATATCTCATTTAATCCAGGAAGTTTAGATACCAAAAAAAGTAAAGCCTCCTGAGTGTCACTTCACATCTATAGCAGTATAGAAACAGCAGAGTGTTTCTAACTGCCACTGAGTGGCACTGGCATCAAGGTTCTCAGTTGACAAAGATGCTATGCTTACTCCATCAGCTGTGGACTCCCAACCCTCTACTTAAGAGGGAACACTATTTAACATTCTTTCTTGTTCAGGAAATTTCTTTATCTTTCCCAAACATCTATCCCCTGCTCCTAAGCGACTCCCCACCTTTTTTGTTTTTTTTCAACAATGGAGACTTTGAATAGATAGCATGGAATCATTCCACTAAGATAATTACAGTTATGGAACTAGAAATGACCGTTTCTTTTAGACATAAGCTACTTACTTCCTCCGGGTAGAAGTATTGAAGATGACTGAGTGGGAAGACTGATTCAAAACCATCTCTGAATGAATCAAATTGCCTAGAGACGCCTTCATTTAGTGCCCAGAATATAACCAGCTGCAAAAAGAAAAGTTTTTAAAAAACTGTGACAAGATTTCAAACTTCTTTACTATTTAATATGTGCCAAAGCATAGTGAAACTCTCTTCTAGATCACCTTATCATAAAAAAAAAATGTCATTAAGTCTTTAAAATATCTCCTAGAAAACTGCATGAGTAAAAGGTCAATGTCTAATTTGTAAACTGGTCAGTGAGAAAATGTAAAAAATGCCACGTGCATTTATATTTAGTGTTTTAAAAATTGACTTATGCAAAACTCCTACAGTACAGAGCGATATCACCTTACCAGATGAGAAACAAATGAGAATTTCCCAAGAGGATAAAATTTATTGAGAATTAAAGATAATGTTTCAAGATGCACAATTAGCAACTGTTAAGCGTTTTCAATTTTTAATGTGAAATGCTTAGTTCTAAATCCTGTTAAGTTTGTAGAACCCAACCTTTCTGTAGTGTGTGCCTCCTCTTAGAAGCAGGCAAAGCCTGGAAATGCAGTCATATGAAATTGAAGGGTAAGAGAAAGGAACTCTTACTGGTCCAAAATTATCTAGTCATCAATGACTCTGGCTAACCCACTGGGTACAGAAACAGAGAATATTTTCAGATAAAAATGAAAACATTAGTATTTTGTTGATAGAATTATATAAGCATTATTACAAATTAGTTTTAGAGAACCTTAATCTGGATGTTAACTCATTATTTGCTAGTAACCTGAAAGAACAGCTTTCACAAAGTTAGTAAAATAAAGAGGATGAGAAGACAGTCCCACTGATTGCTAAGAGGAATGACTCACAGAAGTGCTGGGTAAAAGGAAATCCTGGATATTATTTAATCTATCTTTTCTCTCTCTGGAGCTAAAGTTTTTCAGAGGCTTTAGCTACAGTCCCACAACCAGTTAGTGGAAGAGTCAGGTCTAGGTGTAGGTGAACATTCTGGCCTAAATCCAATGCTCTTTCTACCCAATGTCAGGAATAAACCAAAAGAAACTTTTCAAACACTGGCAATAGGCTGTAATTTAAAACATAATTTGCATTCAAATATAAAATTATTTTCCGTCAATTTAGCAAGTGTAGTTAAGCACCATAAATCAACAATTTGAAAGGCCACATCAAAACATAAGTGTGCATATATCCTGGAGGCCATTCTGTCAAGCCATGGGCTTGAAGGCAAAAACGTGGTTTAGTGAGAACACAAGTGATGGTTCCTTTTCACTTATTTTTTCCTTAAACCAAGAAAACGTGGTGTTAGCATTTAAGCTTGAGGATAGATCAAAGTTATACAAGACCAACAAGAAATATCTGGTATGTTCACTCAAAAGCAAACAGAACCTAAAAAAGTGGCTTTCATGAAGTGGTCCTAGGGATGAGGAAGGTCTCAAGCTACAGTCTGTACAGGCAGAAGATAAGTACAAACAAGCAAAGTCCTCCATCCTCACAGCCAGCCTGGCCTGCCCCCCCAAGAGATGCACTGCTACGTACCCTTAGATACTCCTCTAAATTGTGGATAGTGACTGGTATATCCTTCCCTCCTTTCTTCAGTTCAATGTTGGGAAACCCCGGCAGAGTAAAATCCAGTCCTAGATCTTCAACTGAACAGCCGTTCATAGTCAGGGTTTCTAATGCATATTGTAGACTCTCTTTGGTCTAAAAAATAAAATAAGAAAGGGAGGGTGTCAAGCACAATAATTCACTCAGTTTGATAAAAATAAAAGATATCATAATAAAGTTGATGGATTCTTTTAGCTATTAGCTTCTTTTTTCGTCATAATCTACATATGAACAAAGCACTTAGATCACAAAGGAGGTAAGAGAAAACAAGATCACTTGCATGTTCCTCTACTATAAGATGCTGTGCTCAATTTAAGCATACGCAAGTCAGGGTTCACCGAAAGTACATTAATAGTTCATTTTAAGTGTGTGGACTATAAAACCAGACAAACTTCTCATAAATTCTTATAATACATCAAGATTAGATACATCAAGATTAGACTAAGTACATAGCAAATATTGAGCAAATACAATGGGGAAATTGTAAATACAAATAATGTACTATGTAGTGATGGTAATTAACTTTTTACCCTCCAAAGTTCTAAAGTCTAAAGAAGCTTCACTCAACGACTGCAGGCCTCCCAGGCATAACAAATTTATATCCATCCAGGAACACTGTGATGAAAACAAGGTATCCAGAAAGCCCTAAGAAAAGTCAAGACACTCTCTATAGACAAATGCAGTCTTTATCACTCATACTTTTAAGTCTTTATCATTCATATTTTAAAATACCTAAGATTATAAAAGGTCTAAATAAAATATTTTCTTAGGTTAAGGATCAAGGACCAACATATAAAAATATAAATTCCATCTAAAAATGAAGATGGCTAGTATAGGAAAAAGAAGACAAATGGCTTTCTGAACTGAGAGATATCTCCTTGTATGGAATTCCTACATAAGTAGATATGGTACAGAAAAGGTTAGGATTAGAAAATCAGTCATTTTTTAGAGAGCAGCCTGAAAGCTGTTTAAGATTCCAGATATTTCAGAGTACCAAGGAGATGGCAGATTATTTAAGGTGAAATACAGTCTTTGAGGATTATGTCCATTTTACTTCTTTGCAAAACATCCATGTTTTAGCTTCTCTCAATCTCAGGTGCTTCATTTGAAGACCCCCAAAGGGGACTTTTTTTTTTTTTTTTTTGAGTTGGAGTCTCACTCTGTTGCTCAGGCTGGAGTGCAGTGTCACACTCACAGCCACTGCAGTCTCAACCTGCTGGGCTCAGGCGATCAATCCACCTCAGCCTTCCAAGTAGCTGGAAAAACAGGTGCACGCCACCACACCCAGCTAAAGGGAGCCATTTCATTTCACATTTGAAATATTCTTCAGCAGAAAGATTTTTAAAAATTAAGTTTTTCACTTTAATGTTCCTCCACTGGAAAGGTCTCAAAACTGTCCAGATTAAGGTGATAACCACAATGCTAACAGAAAATCTCTTCTTCCATAGCTTTTGAGAGAATATCTCATTTGTAAAGATGTGCATTACAAAATGTTGTCATTCAATAGGAATGTAGGATACATAGTACATCCTAGAGATGTTTAAACAAAATTCACTGTTAGTTTCTCTGATCTTAACATATTAAATCGAAAGCTAGGTTTTAGCACATTTTCCATGTTTCTTTTGAGAATTTAAATTACCAAGTAGAATCCAAGCCAGGACCACTTGTTCCATCCCTGTACTTTATAAAAGAACAAGATGAGGTATTTCAGAAAGGCACCATTTCTCATATTCTTGTTGAAAGTTGGTTAATACAGTAAATAAATTTATCAAGTGTGGATTCTGTGCCATGCATTTCTTTCATTCATTCATTCGAGTCAGAGTCTCATTCTGTCATTCAGGCTAGAGTGCAGTAGCGTGATCACAATCACTGTAGCCTTGAGCCTTGACCTGCTAGGCTCAGGAGATCCTTCTGCTTCAGCCTCCCAAGTAGCTGGGACTACAGGCACATGCCACAACACCCTTCTTTTTACATTTATTGTAGAGACGAGGTCTCATCATGTTGCCCAGGCCGGCCTCAAATTAAGCTCAGGTAATCCTTTTACCCCGGTCTCCCAAAGTGCTGGGATTATAGGCGGGAGCCACTGTGCCCAGCCCATTTATACTTTTAAATGGACAACACAAAGAAAAATAAAGGAAAAAAGAACAGCTCTCAAAAGGAAGCTACTGATGATGATAACTGTGGTGGCACACTGCATTTGAGACAAGGATATATAGCATAGTGTGCATAATGTGTAAGAAGAGCATGGGGTCTAGAGTAGACAGCCTGGGTTTGAATTTCAGCTCTTCTGTGCTCTAGATGTGTGGCCTTAGGCAGGTTTCTCGCTCTGTCTGCCTTGGTTTTCTCATCTGGAAAATAGGGATAACAACAATACCCAAATCTCACAGGGTTGTTGCGAGAAGGAAGTAAGTTAATATATGTAAGACATTTGAAATGGGGCCATGAGTTTTACTTTCTTTTTACCTTCTCTTTTGTTTGTTGTTTGTCAATATTTTATCTCAGAGATAATCCCAAGCAACACTGCAGTAGTTTAAAACTTACAAAGTTGGTAAGTGTAAACAAACGTAAGTGTTCCTAACAATCCTTAGACCACAGAGTCTGTAATGAAAGAATGGACGAGTAGGCCTCTTTAAATGCTAATCTCTCATAATAAATAAACTTATTTTTCCCAAAAAGCACCAGTTAACCATTATCAATTAATATGGGAGATAAAATGAATTTCCTTACAAATCATCTGCTCTCTAATAAAAAGGAACTCTAAAACCCCCCATCCTTCTCTACTATAAGCACCTCTCCACCTTGTCAGGAGATGTGACACTGTCCCTCACTACAGAATCTCAATTCACCAATCTTACTTTATGTAATTTATAAAATGAGAGTTGATTTAACACTGGTCCATGTTACCTGCCCAAATAAAAGCTATTTGGGTTTGTGTCACACAAAAATACAGCCTTGTTTTCTTCTAATAGCAGATATAGAAACACAAATAATCTCAAATTAAGTCAAATTATTTTACCTATTGTTACCTATATACATAAAAATATAAAGTACTAACATAAAGCTCAAGATTATCTACTTATCTAGGAGATGTAACAGAGAAAGTGAGATGTGTTATTACCAAGAAATAGCGGATGCCCACCATGACCTTTAAAAACATCTTCCTGCAATCTCTCTATAAACAAGTAGATTGTTCCTAAATTAAGCCACCTTTCCTGACAATAAATCTCTTCTGAGGACAGTTTTGTTAACTCCAATTCTTACTGAATTCAGTAGGCAATAGCATCTGCTCAAATACATGCTATCTACTTAATACTTATGATTTGATTTAGAACTATATGTAATTTGGTAATCGAGATGTTTATCATTATCTGCTCTTGTACGTCTCATCTGACTCATTGTGAAATCATATATTTCAGTTAGTAAAACATAAAAACAAAAACTAAGTAAATTCTTCTAAAATAAAACATCCATATAAAAGAAAAAACTGGGTCAAAGACAAACCAACTGGTTTTGTTAATAAACAAAGCCTCATTTTTCTAAAATAAAGAATTTATCCACTTGATTATATCTTCTAAGCCTACCTGAGATTTATCTTGTTCAAGTCTTTTCTTCTGTCTGACGATATCTTCTAGGTGATACACTGATCTGGCTACAACTGGGTCGATGTCAAACAAATCATGTGATGTCAGTGAAGTTTCTTGCCGTAGCATCCACTTATAAAAGGGTAAACCAAGAGGAAGGTCCACCTGAAAAGGAATATGCAAAATGTTTTAATTGTCACACTGAGCTTCTAGAATTATCTCAATTCTAACAGACACTCAAGAGGTCATTTAAATAGGTCAAGTATTCCTCAAGAAAGAAAATAATATATTTAGAAACTATTTTTTCCCTCACGACATGAAATTGATTATATCAAACTGGAGCCCTGATCATTCTAAAAACTTTAGAATACTGAAGAATCCTATTTAATCATTAACACTAAAAAGGAATTTTTCCAATGATGGACATATTCTCTGTAACACATTTTACATGAGGGTCTCTGAAACATCAAGACGTATTTAGAGGAATCTGACTCAATTTTGGACCAAGTAAATTCAATTTCATTGTAGTCCATATTATTGAATATTCCAAAGCAAAAAAAGAACTTATATTTAAAATAGAAAAATGAATAAAACTATTAAAGTAATTGATAAACAGCCCACTCCTCAGTTAAAGTGAAATTGTAAGCCATGAATCTGGCCTCAGATGAAAATGCTGTTAAGCATATTGACAAAGTACCTCAAAAAAGTTCAGAAATATTAAAACCTCTGTAAATACGGATTACTTGGGTTGTTTTCACAACAGCATTCTAATGGAAATGTAATGAGATTTAGCCACATGTTCATGCTTTCCTACTGAATTAAAAAGATAATGTCAAACACTTTAAAAAATATAGTTAATACCACCCTTAACATTGCCTGATTCTTTGAACCCTTGCTATTCAACAAGTGGTCCACTACCCAGCAGCTAGGCATCCTCTGGGATGCTCGTATAAAAACTCAAAATCGTGGGCAATAAACAGGCTTACCCCTTGTCCTAATGAATCAGAACTCACATAGTAAACAAAATCCCCAAATAATTCACACTCATGTTAAAGTTTGTAAAGCACTGCTCTAACATACAGCAGTAAGGGCTGAGAACTGAGGTACCTGCCCAGAACATTATACACCAAAATTGCAGAAAAACAAACCATCCTAAAACTTACCAATCTGAAATCCATGATAGCCTTGGCCATTAATTTTCCTAAGAAGCGAAACTTCATCTTAACCTTTGCAATATGAGCTGGTTTAGCTGTCCTACCAAAGGGAAGTGCAAACAGGCCCTGGAGGTTTTGAATATACTTGGTCCCTTCTTGGCTTCCTGTAACACAAGGAATTCACCAAACTTTAAATAGCATTTCCGAAAACAAAACCAAACCTGGTAACTAAGAATATTTAAGAAATTCAGTATTCTCAAAATTGGAGAACAGATCACTGAATGAAGTCCTCTAGAGTTGGAAGGGTCTTCCCTATTTGATAAATGAAAAGACAGAGGCTAAAATAAATAAAGGTCAGAAAGCATGACCCCCCATGAGAAATTAAATATATGTAATGAATTGTAAGACTCCATTCACCTGATCTGAATAACACAAATTATCTAACTCACAGGTAAACATTACCTTTCGGATTGCTAAGAGTTACTTCTTCACCTCTCCAGAGACCCAAGTCAGCTCTCTGTAGTTCCTGAGATACAAGTGCATAAAACTCCAGTGTAGGCCCAAGACCTGTACCAACCTGCAGAAGAACACAAAAATGATTTCAAATTTTTGAAATTGTGGTGCTTTTTTAACTGCCAAGCTCCTAGCAATGTGGACACCAACAGCAACTATTCACCAGGATGCATTAGAGATTATTTTCTAAAATTTCCTAAATGGATTTATTCCTTCAGACTTGGTCACCTGGAATAAGCAACTCTTTATTATTTCTACTTCAGGAGTTTCCAACATTTTAACTGTACAGTTCAAGTTTGTATACTGATAAAAGCACTGCTCTGGCTAAAACTCTTTCCTACAAGAAAGGATATATCATTGTCTGTGTATGGATCTCCTTCCCTTTTTAATCTTTGGTGAACTATTACCCCAAACCAGCTCAAATGTCACCTTCTCAGGAGAAGCGCCCCCCCATCTACCCCCAATAGTTAGTCTGTCCCCCTTTTTTCTTAGGACTTACTTTTCAGTTACTTAAGTATTTATTACACATTACTTTGCCACAATGTAATTATAAGCTTGCATATTTCACAAGAGGATAACTGTTTTAATCATCTTATATCTTCTATAGTGGCTGGCACACAGTAACTATTTAAGTAGAGAGTTATGTTACATAAAATGCAAACAAGGGAAAGTCTGAATCCATGCCAGCACCCACAAGGCTAACAGCCTCATATAGGACACCTGTGCTTCTGAAGCCCCATGGTGCACTGGAATCCCTGAAACTTTAAACATGCACACACAGGGAGGCCACGTCCTGAAGACTCTGATCTAGTAAGGTATCCCTAGACACTGGTATTACTAAGGTGATTGTGTAGCCTTGAATGAAACCACTCCTCCATGAGACACACAGCCTATGTTAATAGTCTAATCACTCTTTCATGCTGTATCAAGGTCCTATCAGCTCAGACTGTAAACAAAGAGATGCAGGTAACGACAAGTTCATGTTATAATTTATAGGCTAAATCTCACTGTAATCCTGTCAAGAAGGCTATATTTCATTTATGGATTACTTTTACATAAAGGGTACTATTTTACCATTATTAGTTACTCTTAAAAATAACAAACGCTAGCTTTAAAGATTATATGTACTCCACCAAATAGTTTACCTCTTTCAAAACAGAGATCTGCTTGGACCTGGTGGAATTTTCTGAAACTCCATCCTTCTGTTAGAATGTCATATCAGTAAATGTCATATCACTATTGATCTCAAAATAAATGCTCTGACTAAAACCTTGGAGCTGTCCTTGGCCCTTTTCCAACTTTCCACAATCCAAGCCATCAGTAAATATTATAAATGCAGCCTTCAAAATATATTCTATGCTGGATGCAGTGGCTCATGCCTGTAGTCCCAGCACTTTGGGAGGCTGAGGTGGAGGGACTGCTTGAGCCTAAGAGTTAGAGACCAGCCTAGGCAACACAGCAAGACCTCACTGCCACAAAAAACAAATCAGCCAGGTGTGGTGGCATGCACCTATAATCCAGCTACTTGGAGGCTGAGGTGGAGGATCTCTTGAGCCCAGGATGTCGAGGCTTTGATGAGCTGTGATGGTGACACTGCACTCTAGCCTGGGCGACAGAGAGCCTGACTCAAAAAAGTACATACACATATACTGTAAATTGATGACCAACTTTACTCAGCCATCACTCTCTCTTATCTGGTCTACTGCTGTAGCTTTCTAAATGGTTTCTGTACTAGAGTTGTCAACATTTTACATCCCATTCTCACAGTGGCAAGAGTGATCCTTATAAAACAGATGTTCGCATTATTCCTTTGCACCCTCCAAAGGTTTCTCATCTTATTCAAAGCACATCTCCAGCCCTTACCATGGCCTACATGATCCCTTCTCATGCCTCCCATCTTTGACCTTGACTTCTATTACTTTGCCGTTGCTCACTATGCTGTAGCCACACTTATTATCCAATAAGCCAGGGACACTGCCTCTCTGTTGTTCTACTGAGACACTCTTCTCCCAGACAGCAATGACTGGCCTCCACTTAAATGCCACTCAGACCACCCTATGCTTCCCCATTGTGCTCCATTCTTATTTTGCTTTACTTTTCTTCACTACATAGCAACGTATATGTGTGTATCAATGTGCATCAGCCTCCTCAAACTAAATGATAAGATCTATATTGGAGGTGTGAGGATGGACTTTGTATATATTTTGTTCTGCACTGAATCCCAGGCTCTGGAGGAGAGGCAGGAAAGAGAAGCAAAGAAAACTGCAGTAATATCTTGCATCCACCAGATGGTGCTTTAAAGTCAGTTAAAAATTCTTCTTTTGGCATAAAATTATCCAGACTAAACAAAAGTCATAGATCACATTAGTCTGTTTCCTTTAACCAAATACTTTTATTTCTAAGTGTAGAACAGACTTAAAATATCAAAGCACACGGTGTAACTACAAGCACTTTCCTCTGTGAGTCTCTGGGAGGTGGAAGGCCCAGGCCATGTTTGCTCTGGCAGTGCAACCCCTACTTGAGGTTGGCCAGCATCCCTGAAGATCAACCTGATCTTTTCAGGGATCTTTGTCTTATCCAGTCACACCATTAAAGAGGTCCTTTGGTTTTGCTTCATTTCTGTTTTTAAAGATAAGCATAAAACTCTAAAACCAAAAACACAGAAAACAACTTAAACTGGAGTCTTTTTCTCTCAAAGCTAACACTTAGAAATATACTAGCACTTATTATGTGACAGGCAATGTTCTAAGTGCTTTAGACATTTCAGCTCATTTAATCACTCTAAACACATGATGAGGTAAGAATACTTATGTCCACGGCTGAGACCAGGACAATGTTGAGTTTATGTTAACGTGCCCAATGTCACATAGTAAGTGGGGACACCAGGCTCCATAGTCCATGCTCCTGACCAACCCAAAGGAGACTGGGTCTTGGCAACCCCAAATTGAGGACTTGGGTGGTTTTCTGAACCCAGAGACTGGTTTAATCCTTCCCTGGCTTACCAATATTTCCAATTCAAGATGGAATTCACATTTTGATTAGAATTCTTCTACATCTAGTTAGAAATTCTTCCTAAAAGCCACCAGTTGACTTGCACGGTTTAATTTTAATCATAACGTGAAGCCTTACGCAGCTATAAAGTCAGTGCTTTGGGGGAGTGGGAAGTGCTTTCCTCTTCCCCAATGAAGCCAGCTCCTTGAATCTTTTCCAAAATCAACAGGTAAGACTCTTCAAGGAAAATCATAAAACCTCAATTTCACATCAGCAATTCAATCCTGGTCCTCAGAATAGTCAGTGTGAAACCACTGTGAGCTAGTCTGTTTCATGGACAATGCAATTTTAACATAACCATGAATGATGAGAGAAGACAGTCCTTGCAAAAAAAAAAAAAAAACACTGGAGTAAAAAGTAGAAAGCATGTTTAAAGAGATCAAACACCCCAAGAGGGTTAGATCAAAAGTCTTGCCATCTTATGAGTAAACATACAAGAACTGTATCCTCTGAGCAATAGCCATGATCGGAGTAGATTTTTTTAAAAAAGGAGCAAATTTCTCATCTCAGCAATTAAGGCCCTCCTTCTAACCACCTTCCCTCCCTCCCAACACTTCCAGTGTGGTGCTCACTTCTGGTACACACCACAAACCTGACCCTTTGCTCAAGTCCCTTCTGCAAGGAGATGGTCCCTCAACTCTTCCTGTCTCTTCCAATAAAGACTAATTCAAGAGCTTACTTCTCCACAAGGCTTTCCCCACACACCTTGTGGAGAGCGCTTCTTGTCTGATCACCTTACTCATGTGGTACCTACCACCACTCACTTGCCACACCCTTTGGTACCTTTGTCCTATGTCTCCTCAACCACTCTGTAATCTTTTCAGCTCAGGAACTCTGCCATAACCTGGATCTCTACTACATGATATACTTCCCAGTATACAACTTCAAATTTTAATTTTGGTGTCTGAGTATTCAAGTTAGCTTTTAGAAGTCTCAACAAGAAGAAAATGAATGAAAAATCAGTCATGATTAAAATTACTTGAATAGCTATAGATAATATTATATATTATACTGCTAATTCTATATAGTACTCACCATGAGCCAGGCACTGTTCTAACTCTTCATGTATATGAACTTGCAACTTTGAGGTTGTACTATTACTGCTCACATTTTTTTTTTTTTTTTTTTGACTTAGAGTCTCATTCTGTTGCCCAGGATGCAGTGCTGTGGCACGCTCATGGCCACCATGCCTCAACTTGCTGGACTCAAGTAATTCTTCTACTTCAACCTTCCAAGTAGCTGGAACTACAGACACACACCACCACACCCAGCTAGTTTTTTGAAGAGAGGAGGTCTTGCCAAGTTGCCCAGGATGGTCTCAAATCCCTAGGCTCAGGCAATCCTCTCGCCTCTGCCTCCCAAAGTGCTGAGATTATGTGCGTGAGCCACTGTGACCAGCCTATTCTCCACATTTTAGGAAAAAAAGAGACTGATGGGCACAGCAGTTGGCTATTGTAAACACATGATCAGTATAAAGACAGGTTTGGAAATTTCACCTGGGCATGGTGGCTCATGCCTGTAATTCTAGCACTTTAAGGGGCCAAAGCAGGAAGATCGTTTGCATCCTGGGGTTCGAGATTAGCCTGGGCAACATAGTGAGACCCTGCCTCTACAAAAAATAAAAAGAAAATTTTTAAAAAGAGAGAAACGTTGGATTTTAGTCCATAAGACGTTCAGAAGTCCAAAAACATTAAGTTTTGTCTTAAAAAATTAGGTGAGGGACCAGGCATGGTGGCTCACACCTATAATCCCAGCACTTTGGGAGGCCGAGGTGAGAGGATTGCCTGAGCCCACATCTCTACAATAAAGAAAAAAAAAATTGGTGCAAGGGGGAGAGGTATCTCTAAGAGATTCAAAATATATAGAAAATCATTACTTGAATCTTTTAGTGTACTGGCCTAGCTGTTTAAAAGCATCTCAAAAGAAATAAAAGATAACGATTAGAAGAGAAGAAACAACTGTCTTTATTTACAGATGACATGACTGTCTACAACACGGGCCAGCAAGCTACAGTTGGTGGTCCAAAATACAGCTCTGTCTTCAACCTGATTTTGTACTGTCTGCAAGCTGAGAATAACTTTTGCACTGTATTTATATGGTTAAAAAAATCTTGAATAACATTTTATTAAATTTCAGTAACTATAAAGATTGATTAGAACATAACTATGCTCATTCAGTTATGTATTTACTGTCTACTGCCACTCTCATGCTACAAAAGTAGAATTGAAAAGTTGTGATGGAGACCATATGACTCACAAAGCACTTTACAGAAAAGTTTCCCAAGCCATGGGTCTACAATAATCCTAAATGATTTATTAATAAGTTATTAGAATAACTAAGTTTATGAAGACCACAGAAAACAAAGTTAATATATAAAAATAAACTCTGTAAGTGAACAACAACTGAAAATTAATATGAAAGAAAAGTACCATTAAACATAAAATATTTGGGTATAAATTTAACAAACTATGCAAGAAAGACTTCTAGATATAAATTATGAAGCAATATTGAGAAAAGTTAAATATCCAAATAAATGGACAGTTACACCATGTTTATGAGTCGGAAGACACAATACTGTAAACATGCCAATTCTCTCCAAACTGATCTAAATAAAAAGAAATCCAAATTGAAATCCTGTCAAACTTTTCATAGACATTGACAAGCCGATTGCTCTACTTAAATTTTCATGAAAGTTGAAAATAACCAAAACAACTTTGCGGGGAAAAAAAAGTTGGAGGACTCACTCTACCTTATTAAGATTTAACTTTTTTTTTTTTAATTTTTATTTATTTTTATTTTTTATTTATTTCTGAGTTGGAGTCTCACTCTGTCACCCAGACTGGAGTGCAGTGGCCGCTCCCGGCCACCGCAGCCTCCACCTGCTGGGCTCCGGTGATCCTTCCGCCTCAGCCTTCCAAGTAGCCAGAATTACAGGCATGCGCTACCACGCCCGGCTGATTTTGTGATTTATTGTAGAGTTGAGGTCTCGCTTCCCAGATGGGTCTCAAACCCGCGGGCTCAGGCAATCCACTCACCTCAGCCTCCCAAAGGCATGGGATTACAGGCTGAGCCACCGAGCCAGGCAAGATTTACTATTAAGCTACAGCAATTAAGACACTATTGATTAATAAGAACAGAATAGAAAGTCTAGAAAGAGACTCAAACACCATAGTCAAATGATTTCCAACCAAGGTTCCAAGGTAATTTAACAGAGGAAAAAATGATTTTTTCAGAAATAGTGCTAGAAAAACTGAAGAGCCTATGTTTTAAAAAAAAAAAAAAAAGAGAGACTTCAAAAAACCATAACCTTTAAATTGACATCATAAAATTAACTCAAAATGGATCACAGACTAAAAGCTAAAACTATAAATTTCTAGAAAAGCACATAGGAGAAACTCTTTCATGGTATATGAAAAGATATCTTAGGATGTAAAAAGCACAGACTACAGAACAAAACTCAAAAAACAGAATTTAAAACTTCTGCTCGTCTAAAGACATCTTATAAGGAAATAAAAAGATAAGCCACAAACTGGAAGACAATAACCAAAAAAGGTAGGCATTCATATATCTTCTTCTTCCAAAGAAGATATATGAATGGTCAATAAGCAATAAAAACAATAATCAATACCACTAGTCACTAGGAAAACAAAAATTAAAACCACAGTAAGATAGTGCTATAAACCCACTAGAATAAACTTAAAAAGACTGACAATACCAAGTATTGAAGTGTCGGTGAGCACAAGAAGCAACTAGAACTCACATACATTCATTCCTGATGGTAATGTAAGATATAGCAGCCATTTTAGAAAAGAGTTTGGTATCACTTATTAAGCTAAAATATACCTTAAAATGACTTAGTAGTTTTAATTCTGCGGTATTTACCCAATAAAAACATGTTTCCACAAAGACTTAAACAAACGTTCGCAGCAATGTTACTCAAAATAGTAAATAACTGGAAACAACCCAAATATGCAGCAATGGGTGACTGGAAAACATACTAATGGTGCATCCATAATGAAATACTACTCAGTAATAAAAGGAAACCAATTAATCGGGCATGGTGACTCACACCTGTAATCTTAGCATTTTGGGATGCCGAGGTGGGAGGAATGCTTGAGGCCAAGATTTAGAGATCGACCTAGGCAACACAGCAAGACCTCATATCTACAAAAAATATATAAAAATTAGCTAGACATGGTGGCATGCACCTGTAGTCCAAGCTACTTGGGAGTCTGAGATGGAAGGATCATCTGAGCTCAGAAGGCCAAGGCTGTGGTGAGCCATGATGGTGCTACCGCACTCCAGCCTGGGTGACAGGGTGAGAGCCTGAATCAATTAAAAAAAAAAAGGGAAACAAACTGATACATGCAGCATGGATGAATCACAAAAGCATTACTCTAAGTGGAAGAAGAGTGACATGAGGTTACATACTGCATGATTCTATTTATTATGATATAGGTATTGTAAAAAAAGACAAAATTACAGGGATAGGAAATAGATCAATGGTTGCCAGGGCTGGAGACAGTGTGAGAGGATGGGGAGAACAACTGATTGCAAAGTGGTCTGAGGGAACTTTTTGTGGTGATAGGACTGTTCTTTACCTTGATGTGGCAGCGGTTACAAACTGTATACATCTGTCAGCTCCTAGAATTGTACACTTGCAAAGCATGCAGTTTATTATTTGTAAGTTATAGTTCAGTAAAACTGATTTTTAAATTTTATTTTATTTTTTATTTATTTTTATTTATTTTTATTTTTTTGAGTTGGAGTCTCACTCTGACGCCCAGACTGAAGTGCAGTGGCTGCTCCCGGCCACCGCAGTCTCGACCTGCTGGGCTCTGGCGATCCCGCCTCAGCCTTCCAAGTAACTGGAACTACAGGCGCGCGCTACCACGCCTGGCTAATTTTTGATTTATTGTAAAGATGAGGTCTCGCCAAGTTGCCTAGGCGGGTCGCGAACCCGCGGGCTCAGGCAATCCACTCACCTCAGCCTCCCAAGGCGCGGGATTACAGGCTGAACCACCGAGCCTGGCTTCAAATTAACATTTTATCAAGAGCACAAGGCAAGCTAAAAACTATCAACAGCCATATACTCACCTCGTTTTCATACTGGATTTCTAACATGGCCCGTGAGCTGCCAAGGTCCTGCATCACAGACTCAGCCTGTTTCAGCAGCTCCTCTCTGTTCACAGTACGCTAGAAAGAAAGTACAAACATGTGAAAACTATGCTCTCTTAAAATTGCACTTTAATCAACAGGTAATATTTCTTGATATGCAAAAAAAAATCTACTGTTTAAAAAAGTTATTTCTTTAAATGCATACCTCAGAAAATGTCAACTATGCTATAAACATCAATGGCATCCTGGCACACATGAAGGAAAGCTAGATGCAAGGGTAATTACTAATTTATTTTGAAGCCATGGCAAGTTCAGAAAATCCAAGTTGGAGAAGAAAACATTTCTTCTTTACCAAACATCAATGCAATTTAAGGCTGCAGTTTCATCAAGTCTCCCAGAGTACTTTTAGAGGTGGATGGAGAAATAAGTATAGAGGTGGCAGGTGAGAAAGGTGAACTAGAAACCAACTCTGACCTGACAAGATCCTACAAGCACTACAATGAACAGCTACTAATGAGATTCATGGAGATGATAAATGTCCTGGCTACATTTCTAAATTATGCCAACACCATTACTAACGAGACAAAGACAGGAATAGAATAGTTTGTTTTTAGGTACAATATCTGCTTTACGTTTTGTTTTGTTTCTCATTACAAATCCCACTCATTATTACCAAAGGCTCTTATGAGACTTCTGGGAATGAAGGCTTTTGGAAGACAGATTTAAATCCTCAGCAAAAAAGAGGCATATGAACAGAAAAGTCCTGAGGAAACAGAAGAGGTCAGAAGTGCAGGATTGGGCCTCAAAGGGAAATGACTCAGGGCACTGTGGTTCAAAGTCACAAATGTGGAGCCAAGAAGCACAGCAACATTGTGACTGACTGGTGAAGAGACTCAAAATATTAAGGATTCTGTTTCAGGCCTTCTAACTGGAGTGATTGTTAAGGGAATGAAATGGGTTTGGTTAATTCTAACAACTGCATATGGGGTCAATTTTAAAGGGGAGGATTATAGTTTGAGTTCGTAACTTAGAAGGAAAAGAAAGTCTCAGTAAGAGATTGTTTTTTGGTGTAAGAAGATGGCAATTATAAGAGAAAAAAGAATAGAAATTATTTCAGATGGGGGAAAAAGACTCAATGAAGCATAAAGAAGAATCACAGTCCAATTCCAAGAGACTGATAGGAAAATATAGCAAAGAGATAACTGCAACTAAGGCCTCCAAAACCAACAAGCATATACAGGTACATCACATTTCCAGTTTTCCCATTATTTTCAAAAGCTCAGTTTATTTACGTATTCTGGGAAGAGACTTACTTTTTTTCTATCCAATCTAGGTGCAACTCTGCTGTCTTGAGAATCAGACTGGTTGATTTCTGGGTTGGTATCAAGTAATCTTTGCATTGCTCGGTCCCGATCAAATGCAGTTACATAAAAAAGCATTTGCCGAGTATCAAAAGGAAAGAAAAATGGGCTGTAAAAAGATGCAATATAAATTGATTACGAGGATAAGAATCAGATACCACTAAAAACCAAAAACCTATACTAGAAATAACTTTTGATATGATATAAAATAAAAACTATAAATAAAAACAAAGATGATCTAGGCAAATTAATTTTGAGAATTTTCATAATTCTTGTATGATATTTCTAAGTGATCAAGTAATAATGTATTAAGTCATCTTTAAGTGTAAAATCTGAAATTTAACCTTTAAAATTCTACATTTAACTCAAGTCTATTCAAGATCACCTTTACTTTACTCCAAGGCTGTAAGGAGTATAACATGACTAGTGAAAGCAGAATCTTTTTTTTTTTTTCCATCAGCACAAATTTATTATCTTACAGTTCTGGAGGCCACAAGTCCTAAAAGCAAGGTGTCAGCCAGGTTGCATTTCTTTTTGAGGCTTTAAAAGAGAATCCCATTCCTTCCCTTTCTCAGCTTCTCAAGGCTGCCTGCTTTACTTGGCTCATAGCTCTTTTCCCCATCTTCAAAGCACATCACTCCAATCTGCTTCCATTGTTAGGTCTGTAAGTCTTAACTTCTTTACCTCCCTCTTATTAGGAATCTTGTGATTACAAGATTGCCCCATCCAGATAAAGATAATTTAGGATAATCTCATTTCCAGATCTTAAATGAATCTTACCTGCAAAACTCTTTTGCTAGGTATAACAACATTTTCATAGGTTCTGAAAGTTAAATCTTAAAATACGACCACTTCTTCATGAGGCTGCCAACTCCCCATTCCACATATATGCAAATAATGGCCTTACTTTTCATGATTTTCCTCCCAGCTTTGGCATTTCTAAGTTATTCAAAACTGCCAAAAGGCAGCTACTGGTTTTTAAAAAACAAACCCTTAGTAACAGGTCCTAATGCCTCTTGATGAATGATTTGGTAGTTCTTAACAGACAGTTGTCAAATGCATTTCCAACGGTGGCCTGATGGTTTGATATCTGTCCTATCCAATATGGTAGTCATATGTGAGGATAGGACTGTGACTAAAAACTCAATTCCTAATTTTATTTAACTTAAATGTAAATAGCCACATATGGCCAGTGGCTACTGTGTTCATCAATGCAGTTCTAGTGTCTCTGACCCAAACAGGCTAAGAGAATGAAGCAACTACATCTTTGGAGTTCAATTTTATGATAGCAGAGAATTTGACTTTCCTCAGTCAAATACTGCTGTGTACTCTCCTAGTTCATATACACAGACATATACTATTAAGGAGATCTAGTACCAGCCTCAAAACTTGACTGGATGCTAAAGCCACACTTTTCAGGATGTTGTGATCAAATGTGACAATGTTCATAAATATTTGACTAGGTCTATTAAGAATAAAGTTTCTGTAACAAAATATATAAAGACCAGCACAACAACATTCCCAAGGCCACCATGACAGAATGATTGTCTTACCAGGTTTTTCCTAGCTCAGTAAGCCATGTTGGGATGTTTCCTGTCATGATTACTAAAGGATCTTGAAGTTGCCTATTTGCTTTTGCTGTTAACTTACTGTTAATAAATTCACTAGTTGGAATAATCTCCTTGCACATTGCGTTCTGTAAAATGTTTTAAAAAAAGTCTATAAGTAATAAAACATTTGGATTATATTCACAATTTCTTCCTTTATCCCCAAATACATGCAGAGTGCCTTGATTTCACCAACTAGTTGGCAACATACAACATACAGCTTCTCATTGGTGTGTACCAGCCCAAACAACAATTCCCACAATACAATACTAAACCCCCATTCCCTCAAGGACCACTGATGCTGGCTCCATCATTGATGTGGCAGCTAATGTTTCATGCAAGGCTAATTCCTTCACTCTTCCTGCACTATATAGAAGGCAGCATGCAACTTTCACCCAACTTTTTACTTTATATATATTTTTGATAAGTAAACTTTTGGTCAAACGCACCTAAAGAATTTTAACTATTAATATAATAAATCCATATTGGAGTTTCATGTTGTAGATTTAATTTAATACATTGATAGCTACAGAATATTTTACAAATGTGCCAAGAGAACTAATCTAAGAATGTGGGCCCAGGAAAGAAAAGTAGAGAAGACTCCATTGATGAGTACACTGTTCTTCACTGGACTAGGACCCCTGCATTCAGTTGAATCACTGTTTCTGTTTCTAGTGTAAAAGGAAATTCAAATCACCAAACAGAAACCACGCGATAGCATGTCATGAATGACACAGACCATGAAAACTTCGTAAGAAGGCAACACTACTCACATCATACAAGTAATACCAGTATCGACTGATGGCATGTAAAACTCTTAAAAGAAGTATCACATCTAATGATGGATCTTCAAAGGTTATATTTTCAGGTGGTGTGGGAATGAGGTAAACTTCTAAAGGATTTGATACTGATGGGCACACTCCATCTAGAGGGCAAAAGAGCAAAGTTTTGATCAACGTTAGAAAGGCTAAGCCAGTGACTTCTAATCATTCCTAAAATAGTAACCAGAAGCTATTATATTTAATGTTTGACATCTCATTAGCAGGACACTGACAGCTTAGACATTTTTCCCCTTTTAATCTTAACTATAAAATGTCTGGGCTTATGAAAATTTCACTTTCCTCTTCAGTGTTTTTCCTTTATGCTTATAAACATTATAAAGAAGAAACAGACTTAACTGCATTTCTCTTTTATGCCAAAAACTACAGCTAAAAATAAAATGGCCAGGAATATAATCAAACTGTTTAAGTTCACTGTTATAGAAATTTTCTGGATTTCTCATATCTAGCTAAAGGCTGTAAAGGTCAGGTGGAAAGTGACTACTACATTTAGTTATCTAGCATCACTGTTTTTTAAAGTCAAGGTCTCATTCTGTTGCCCAGGCTGGAGCGCAGTGGCACAATCACAGCTCACTGTAGCCTCGACCTCCTGGGTTCAGGTGATCCTTCCACTTCAGCCTTCTAAGTAGCTGGGACTACAGGTGCACGCCACCACACCTGGCTAATTTTGTTCTTTTTTGTAGAGACAAGATCTTGCTATGTTGCCCATGTTGGCCTTGAACTCCTGGTCTCAAGTAATCCTACCACCTTGGTTTCTCAAAGTGCTGGGATTGGAAACATGAGCCATTATGCCCGGCTGGCATCACTTTTTTATAACTTCCATAACTGTCACGTTGTACTATTTAAAAAATGACAAAAATTAAAGGCCAAATCTGCCAATGCGCAGTCACTGCCTTCAGCCTCTTCTTTAGTGAATGTGTTCTAATGATATGTTTAGTCTTTATGAAAACATGAATTCTTAAGTAATTGGAGATGTTTTTCTGAATTTTCTTCCCAAATTTAATTTTATGAGTAATTTTCCATTTGCTAGATATTAAAGTTAAAACTTAAAAAAACTCAAACTCTTTGTAATTTCACTTATTTCTAAGTTATATTCAAAGATTTTACTACTAGATACAAATTACTCCTTTACAACCACGAAATCAGGAAGACTACTGCCTAAGAGCAACCCATTTTCCCCTATCATCTTACCATGCCATAACTCATCATGCTTTTTTGCATTTCTAGGGGAAGTTTTTGTTGGAGCTGTTTGGGCTCTTCCTCTTTTACCACCAACACAATCTTTATTACTTTCTTCATCTTCTCTCACAGGTTTATACCTACAATGATAAGACAGTATGTAAACCAAATCAGATTTTAAAAGTGCAAATTATTCTATGAAGCCAAAATCCAAGCCAGAGACACCACAGTTACCAGATGAACTCTCTGCAGTCTATTCTCTTTCTTTCTCCCCTAGTTCTAATGTGGAAATTTCTCAATGGCTCTATTTCCTATTAAAAACCACCTTTCTGGGAGGGGCCACATGAAAAAAATCCAAGGGTGGTTCTGGGAAGAAGGACTCTCTTCTAACATAAACAGCGAACACTCACAGACAAAGCAGAAAAGTCCCTAAGAGTTCAGATGTCCAACTTCTTATTACCTAATGAAACACCATCTAGAACAGCATTTTTTCTTAAAGATCTGAAATAAATCTAGATAGTAGGTGCAAACCATGTTTATTTCCCATAAATATATGTTCTCTAGTAAAATGAATGAAGGAGCTACAAATAAATACACACATGATTAAATATTTGAAGTGGTTTTTGGTTTTAGGGCCCTCTCTCCTTAGCCAGTCATTAATTTAATATGTATTCTACAACACAGTTTAAGGTTCATGAAAAGACAAAAGAAATAATTTTCAGACTTGCCATATTGTATGGGTCTTTGTCCAAATACCAGCTCTACCTAGAGGATTGCTCTCATCATCTGTGGATTCTCTTTCATCTTCAGCCTGTATACTGAACTGCCGTACTGCCTGATACACAGTCATGTTATAAGGTAGCAAATGTTCTCCAATGTAAAATTGTAGCCTGTGTCTTACGTTTCCTGAATTTAAGAACTGAGCAGCCTGAATAAAGCAAAGCAAAATTCATTTAAGCTGTAGGCCCTAACCTTTATACAGTACATTACAACATGCTGGGGACTAGTACCTTACCAGAGACTCATCTATTTCCTCATCTGATCCATCATCATCACTGTCTTCATCATCTTCTCTTACTCTTCCATATCCTAACGACCCAAGCAGGCTGTTAAACTTATAGCAGTTTTAGGTGTCAAAAAAAAAAAAACCCCTAAAAAACCCAAAACCCCTGTATACACTAGGTTAAACTGATGAATTCTTAGAAAAACATGTACAAGTCCAGTATCCCTTATCTGAAACACTTGGGACCAGAAGTGTTTTGGATTTCAATTTTTTCACATTTTTAGAATACTTGCATGTATATAATAATATATCCTGGGAATGGGACATAAAGCTAAATGCAAAACTCATTAATATTTCATATCCATATTACATGAAGGAGATTTTACATAGTATTCTTAATAATTTTGTGCATGAAACAAAGCACATGTATACTGAACCATCCGAAAGCAAAGGTGTCATCAGATGTGGAATTTTCTACTAGTAACGTTGGGTCAGTGCTCAAAAACTTTCAGATTTTGGAGCACTTTGGATTTCAGATTTTTCAGATCAGAAATGCTCAACCTGTATATATTACATTCTGATCTATGAAGTAGAAAAGTCTTATGAAAACTGTCAAACACAAAACATCATTTCTACTACAGTTCAACAAGATAATTAACTAATCACTCAAGTAAGGACCCAACCCCTAATAAGTCTAAATACTAAAATTCCAAATTTATGTCTAAATACTAAATAGTCATATGGGAATTACCTCTAACAACAAGGTATCTCTCGATAGCTTGTACCAAAGCCAGAGGGTCAATTTTGACAGGTCCGCCTTTCCACTGCTTCACATTTGCACAATCTGGATGTCTTTGTAATTGGCATTTTAACTGATGTGTGTTGAAAAATTTTAAAGCCTGTGATCCTCTGTTGAGAGAGAAGCTCAAGATAATATGTGAAAAAGAAGTTAGTCTATTATTTTCACAATCAATGTACAATAATTCAAATAAAGGCAAGAAAATACAAACTGCATTTTCTTAAGACACAAAGTAAACACCAGTTCTGTAAATGATTAAGCTAGTAATTACAGTTATTTAGTGAAAGTTGTTATAATTAAGAAATAAAAGATGGGTTTGCATGCATGCATATGAAAACCCTAAATCAACAATCAATCTCTGTCCCATCATGAACCTTGTGAGCAGAAATACTTGGCCATGGATATTCAGTCATTTTCCTAGAATATAAGTTCTGCAACTATTTAAGCATACTCACTTTTGCAGTATTTTGCCCTTTCCTATTAAATCCTATTTAAAAACAGAACACTCATTTTTGTTTTCAAAGACTTAAGCTATGAAATTACTTTTTAAGGTAACCTTTAAATTTTGCTTTGCTATACTTTTTTTTTTTTTTTTTTTTGAGTTGGAGTCTCACTCTGTCACCCAGACTGGAGTGCAGTGGCTGCTCCCGGCCACCGCAGCCCCAACCTGCTGGGCTCCAGCATCCTTCCGCCTCAGCCTTCCGAGTAGCCGGAATTACAGGCATGCGCTACCACGCCCGGCTGATTTTTTTTTTGATTTATTGTAGAGATGAGGTCTCACTGCCCAGGCGGGTCTCGAACCCGCGGGCTCAGGCAATCCACTCACCTCAGCCTCCCAAAGGCGCGGGATTACAGGCTGAGCCACCGAGCCCGGCTGCTTTGCTATACTTTGAACGAAGCAATTTAAGAACTCTAGCAGCTGAAACCTGGTAACGATTGTTTATTTAAATACTCGCTGCTAGAAAGCTATGGCAGGAATCAGATACAGAGATATGGAGATTAATATTTCATTATGCTAATATACATGTAAACATACATATTTTATACAAAGTTTTTAAAAAGTAAAAAGCTTCATAGTTTTCAAGCTTCATAGTTTTCATTTTCAAGGAGAAAATGTCTCCTAATTGTATAACTCTTCCAGGATAGTGTAATGATAAAAATGAAGTACCGCACTCTATATTAAATTTCAAAGCCGAAAAAACTCTAATCCATGATATGATTGCCTTATCTGTTCAACAATGCATACTGTTTTGATTCACTTATTTTTTTAAATGTGGATTTTAAAGCCAAACTAACATCCTACTTTCCAGACTTCCAGTCAAAATATTCCACAAAAATTATAACATTCCATAACACACATGACTAAACTTTTAAAATTATTTCTTGCAACACCTAAAGAGTCTTTCAAGCAACTACTTATCAAAAAAAATTTATTCAACTAGTGAAACTTCAAAATAAACACTTGTTCAAACATCTCAAAATACAAAGTTATAACCACTTATATCACATATAAGATCACATTGCACAAAATGTAAATATTTCATTATTCACATCCAAAAATTCTTGGAGGAGCTTTACATGTCAATGTATACCAATTTAAGAAAACTATGTCTACTGTAAGTTGCTAACACAATCAATAGATTATATATATTTAAAACACTCTCATTAAGACTCACAGTATGACTTTAAAGATAAAAAGCATTTGATTCCTTCTTTAGAGCACTCAGTTTCTTCAGTCACTACAGTTGAATGTTCGTTGAGCAGACCTCTTGCCACTTCAATGAAAAATTACATGCCAAATTCCTGTGGCAAGGGCACACCCAGGCAATGATCCTTACCTGCCTCCTGTCCCGTTTCCACTGGGGAAATCATGCACTTTGACTGGAAATTGTTCCATCTGGCTGAGGCAGTTGTTCATCTTGTGAACTAATGCCAACAAAGGTGCATTACCCACTGGTTCTACTCGTCCAATGGGCTCTTCTCCAGGAAGCTAAAGTTATATAAATAAACCAACAGGTTAAGCAAGGCCTCCTGAAAATGAAGCACTCCACAATGACAAAATTTAAAAAGCTGTTTTGTAGACAAGAATAATTCATCTATTCATTTTTAATTTTTATGACAGACTTGGTTGGAATAATGTTTCCAAATAAATTATATCAATAAAGATGCTTGTTTTACACCCCACAATCCCATATTTACAATTCCTAAATCCAAAAGGTTCTACAAACACAAATGATTTGGCGGTAAAATCTGATCCAAACAGACATGAGACTATCTGATTTTATTAGGAATGCTCATATGTTTTGTTGTAAAAATATTTAACACATATAATAGAGTGCTGTTCAGAATGCATTGGGGATATTAATGTCCTGTACTGAGGAACTCTTGAAACCCACCGTTCGGAGTGTCAGATAAGAGACTGCAGACCTATACATAATCTTAAGTATGGTGTATAATTATATCCACCACTGTCACACATCTAATGAATATCCAATAAATATCAACTCTGTTTAAGTAGCCCACAAGTTAAAATAATACAAACAAGGCTCAAATGTCTGTGAACACCAAGGGCATGGTGAGATAGTGTTGCTAATACACAGGAGTTATCCTTAGCCCTATTACACAGATAAGCCAGAGAGAAACTTCCCAAGGGATACCTTCTCTTAAGCTGTTGTAAAATAAGGAGACTGTTAGGTCAGCAGCCTCCAAGAGTTGCTGCCCTCTTGCTCTCAGCCCAAGGGTGAAGCAAGGGAAGTCACTGTATAGCTACTGGCCTTGTAATTCATATTATAAATGGTGATAAAGCACACTTGAATGGAATTGTAAGGATTGTGTTTTATATACAAAATAGAAATACATGTCTTCTCTATCCTATGTCTATAGATACAACATGTCTACCTAGTTCCCTAAAAGATACTGCAAGCTGCACTACGTTTAAAAGCAAATATTGCAAGTAAAATATATTCACAGGTGAGAGATTACTAAGGATCAACTCGCAGAATAAAAGACTCAAGATACGTCAGCCGCAGAAAGTGAGACATGGGCTTCAATAAATCACCATTTTATAGTTTTACTATTTACTTTGATATATGAGGGGAACACACCAAAACACCCAGAATTTACTAATTAAAAAAATTATTTATTCTCACATGCTTCAACTTCAGTCACCTTTTAAGTATTCTCCATGTGATGCAATACACCTATCAAGATGCTTTTTCCAGTGCTCAAGACAGTTTCTGAGCTCGTCAATTTTGATGCCTTTTTGTGCTTCTGCCATTTTTTTAATTTCACCTCTTCCACATCGGCAAAACATTCCACCCTTTGAGGACTTTTTTTCACCCAGGGAAACAAAAAAAAGTTGCTCAGGGTGAAACTGAATGAATAGGGAGGGTGGGGGCACCGGAGTCATGCTGTTTTTGTTCAAAAACTGCTTAACACTCAGCACAGCATCAGCAGGTACGCTATCATGGTGGGACATTTCTTCTGCAAATCGTGACATGACCTTCCCAAAACTCTGAGATAAAAATTTTGGTTAACTGTTTGATCCAGAGTAACAAATTTTGAGTGTACTACAAGGGATCCACCCTCCAAAAGATAATTCCAGTTTTTTGGTGGTCTCCCCTCATATGTAAGTTCAAGGAATCCAACAGTATATAAACAAGCTAGAAACTTTTACTCAATGTCTTGACTAAGATCTACTGGAAAATATTACTGAGATGAAAATAAATTCATTAGTGAACACTGATTCTTAAAATAAGATATACAAGCATTATTAGATAACTTACTGGAGAAGAAAAAAATACATGAAGAAATCTCTTTAATCTGATCTCTCTGGTCACAGCATCCTTTTCACTTTTAGATGTCAAATAAAGCAACAGCTGCTTCACAAATCCACTATGTTGGATTTCAAATGATGAAACATCTGACTCTGAGACTATGCTACGGATTTCTACAAGGCACTCAGCTCCACCATCCACCTGAAAGAGATGAGGACAAGTATTTCTACACTGATTTAAAAACAGCACTTCTCCAAAAGGAATTAAATACATTCTGAATGCCTTTAAAAAAGAGGGTGGGGCAGTGGTACAATCTTACTAAATCCATGGAAAATAGGATTTTACATATATACATACAACATTAACTGTTTTATGACAAAAAACAGGTATGCATAATAAAATAATAATGGTAAGAAAAAAATGTTCACATCCAACCAGTGTAGCTTTCCTTAAGAAATAATTTTAATGAATGAAAATACAAATTGAAGAATAAGGGGCTAAAACACCAGAATGAACAGATAAAGCAAGAATACAAGGTGTGGTTTTAAATTAGAACATGTAAAATCCTAATAAAACAGACAATTTCTTGGAAAATACACTACTAAAATTGCTCAATGTACATCAAAATGTCAAAAAAACTGAGAATCAGATGAAATGTAAAAGGCTTATTATAAACCTTTATCCTCTCAAACTACTATGAGACCCTGTGTGGAGAAGGGCTAAGGAAAAGCTGATCAACTACACCTACAGCTGAGGAGGACTTATAAAAGTAGAGATGTGCATGAAGAACATTTTTTTTTTTTGAGTTGGAGTCTCACTCTGTCGCCTAGGCTGGAGGGTGGTGGCACGCTCATGGCCACCACAGCCTAAACCTGTTGGGTTCAGGCAATCCTTCCACCTCAGCCTTCCAAGTAGCTGGAACTACAGGCATGTGCCACCATGCCCAGCTAATTATTTGATTTATTGTAGAGATGAGGTCTCACCAAGTTGCCCAGGCTGGTCTCAAACAGGTGAGCTCAGGCAATCCTCTCACCTTGGCCTCCCAAAGTGCTGGGATTATAGCTGTGAGCCACCGCACTCAGCCAAAGAACATTTCTAAAGTTGGTTCATTTGCCAAGAAACATGGAATGTGAAAGAGTATCAAAGATGAAGATTCTAGTACATTGAATGATGAACCCTGACAGTCAAGGATGAGTAAAAAAACGCCAGCGCCGAAGTTATATATGTATTAAGAATGTCCATCTATGATAGCTAAATCCAAGGAAAACTAGAGAATCATCAAGGAAAAGAGCAGTAATACCAAAGAGATAAAAGAAAAGACTGAAAGGACTAGCAAGATGCACTGGATGCAGTACCTGGAGGTTGAGTTGTTCGGTTGCAGCACAAAGTCTCTGAAGAACATTCAATGCAGGGTTGCTTCCATCCATATTCTCAGAACTGAAATAACGCTCTACAAATTTATGTGCCTGCTCCTTAATCCAACCTTTAATTTTTTCTCTGGAAGAAAAAATGATATTAAAGTTTCAGAATTCGTAGAAAGAATCAAGACAAACAGCTACTACATTCAAAACCTTTTTTGGCCTATGTTTATAGATTAATAAATTCAGATCCCATATTTGCCAAATTAAGTTTCACTTTGAAAATGGGCTAAAATGTACCTAGAAAATTTTTTAGGTACTTAAAATACATTTCAGGTCACTACATGAATAATAAACAGTGTTCTAATTTCTTGGGACTCAACAATGTAACAGTTTCCTAAGTGATCACCCAAGTGCAATTTTACATCACTATTTTCTAAAGTACAGACATATCTGCAATGTCCCTGGAGAGATGAAGTGAAGAACTACAGACCAGAAACATGTACCTGTTAGGTGCACGATAAACTATGATAAATGGAACCTGGCTGTTTAAACTGCAAATGCTAATGGCTTCAAAAACACATTTGCTTAATTATTTATATTAATTGAAATTCAGAAAAACAACCATCAACCAAACCAGTCAAACCAAAAGAGCAAGCTTATTTTCCCCAAAAGCATTGAATTTTTGCAGATGTATCTGCAGATAAAGCTGATAAGTATGCTACATCCAAAGCAAGAAAAACTAAACTAAAACAACTCCCAAGGACTTAAAAAAAAAACACAACTCTTCTCTAAGATCCTTAAGTTCCAATGTAATGGAAAGAGGAAATTTTATCATAAAAATATGAGTGAGGTTAGGAAATGTCAGCTTTTCCTTGTCCAGAACAAAACTAAGGAGTATGTTCTAAAGGGAATATAATTTGTTTGAGTATATGTAACTCCAAGCTAGATATGTTGAAAGAAGTTTCAAAGTCTATGACTGGAACTTTGGACACAAAAGCAGAGTTAATGAATTGAGATTCGACTTTATCCTTGAGCTGTGCCACTTCTCAGTGTTCACGTATCTTCTCCATATGAAAGACAAGCTGGTTAAAAAAGGTTTTCTGATATGGAAATAGAATCAACATAAAATTTCCCCCACTTTACCTATTATTGGATATGGTGTCCTTTGAGGCAGCCCTGGCAAGACCACTAACTCCTGCAGTTCGTGCTGGCTCAATGTTGTTACTGTTTGACTGTGCACTTAACCTTCCCCACGTTTTTGGATTCAAGCTTGCCAGGAAAGAAGATTTAGGTGACTGAGTAGTGGTGGGGCTTTTAGCTATGAAAACAAAGAGAATTACAGTTAAATCATCTTAGCATAACTGAAGAAAATCAACTGAATCTTAAGATACACAGTTTTAACAGATATAATTAACTGTAAGAATGAAAAACATCAGGTCCTCAGAAAACTGATATGTACTTCAAAAGCTATCGGCAGTTTTAATGAAGTACATTCCTGAAACTGCTCCCACCTTCCCCTTTATCTTTCCATAGTTTCAGCAAAGGGGTTACCTTGATTGTCTACTTTGTCATCATCTCTAGGAGGTGAGTACTTTGGCCTTCTTGGCCCTCGTTTTGGCAGTCGTTTTCTCTTTAGAACATCACTTAACCGACTATAACATGAGAAAATATGAGATAAGATTTAGTCATTACAATGATTTACGTCTTAATTCATTGAAAAATAAGCTAAAATGGCAGAATAACGAGTTACTTTCTCATATTTAAGCTAAACAGGACAACCGCCACCAGGTGGCACCAAAAACAACTGCTCTCCCTGCTAATTTCCCCACTGGCTACCTGCACAAGATAACGGTATCTTATAGTTTGCAAGATTAAATTTTTGGACCCCACTTATTTAGTATTACTATGTTTACCAAGATCTACTTTTCAGTTTAAAAGGAACCAAAAGGAGTACTACACTGAGTACATTCTGAATTCCAGAACTGAATCTGGCTCCTCAGGTGCCATTCATCTAGCAATATAAGGTTTCTAACAGCAAAGCAACAAACACAATTTTAGACTGTAAATCTTTTTTTTTAACAAACAAAATGTAAACCCAAACAAGGGTTTGGTAACATTCTTAGTAGCACAGTACAACAAAGAGAATGAAAGCTGATAAAAAATGGGAGAAGATTGAGAACTTTCCCATTTTCCTTTTTTAAAAGCTAAGAAATTGCTCCCAGTTGCCAAGGAAAGATAAATAGGAAATCAGGATATTTTTGCCTTCATATTCTAAAGCTTCTAATTTTCAATATTTTATCATTGTATCAATAGCTGGATGTCTCAAAGATGGTATGTACGCAGAAGTACAGTACCATAATCGCAAGAGTACAGAATCAGAAACAAGAACACAAATCCTACATAAATGTGTGACACTGCAAGTCACCAGCATCTCTCAACAGTCTTAACTTCCTGGTAGGTGAATGGGAAAAGAACATATCTCTTGTGAAAAATACAGGTTTCCAAAAATATTAAGTTTTCTTTCCATTCTCATTAAGCATCTAACAAAATACAGATGCAAAAATGTAGTATGTATAGTCCCTCTAATATTTTTACCATTTTATTTCCTGTATGTCTTAGTACCAAAACAAAGCTAAAGGCCAAGAGCATAAAAAACACAACAACTTACCCTTGAGGGCTGAGATCTAAAGAATCATCTCTGCTGTGCTGTAAGCTAGGTGATCCCAAGTCAGCTGTGGCATGAGTGGCAGCTGTGGCTGTCCCACTGCTGACTGATGTTGTGGACCCCAAAGATCCAGACCCATTCGTACATGCCTTTGGTGGACTTGTCAACAAAGATTCTGATTCTGCTAAGTGTTTTACTTGATGCATTACACCTTTTATGGTAACAGAGGCGAAAAGGAGTCAGTTTTAATCAGGAATCAGGATCTCTTCCCTGCCATTACAAAATCCCGAAATACTAATATTAATATAATACAAAAGAATCACTGAAAAATAGCTGGCAAATGGGGGGGGACAAACAAAATTAGGAGACAGAGTTTTCAACTTGACTCCAATCAGAAATTCAAGACCCATTCGTACATGCCTTTGGTGGACTTGTCAACAAAGATTCTGATTCTGCTAAGTGTTTTACTTGATGCATTACACCTTTATGGTAACAGAGGCGAAAAGGAGTCAGTTTTAATCAGGAATCAGGATCTCTTCCCTGCCATTACAAAATCCCGAAATACTAATATTAATATAATACAAAAGAATCACTGAAAAATAGCTGGCAAATGGGGGGGGGGACAAACAAAATTAGGAGACAGAGTTTTCAACTTGACTCCAATCAGAAAAAGAGTACAAAAATTCAGAGTTAAGGAAAAATATTTATAATGAATGCCTTCTATTCTTTAAAACCCAATCAGATATATTTGATAGAGTCAAAAAGTAGTCCTCCTTTGAGTTCAAAATACCCATTATAAAAACAATAATTACAAAAACATAGCACACCTTGTGGCGTGATAGCCAGAAGGGGAGAAGATCTACCATTATTACCTTCAAGTGCTAAAAATAAAAAGACAAGATCACAGTAACCAACAGTGCCACCAAAAAAGAATATATCGGTTATTGAAGAGTGGTAACTGTCACAACCTTGGAGGTGTATCAAGACAGTTAAACAGTAACTTGTGAGGCAGGGGTTCTTATCTGGGTTAGAATCATGGGAGGGTATGTATATGAAGGTTTGTGTACCCAAACTATCAAATTGGATAGAAAGATATGTATCTAATAAGTTTGTGTAAATGCTATGCAAATCTGTGGGTACATTTATGTGAGCAAATATGCACACACACATTTTTCTGGGGAAAAGTCTGGGGCTTCCATCAGATTCTGTAAAAAATTGAAAAAAAAGGCAAACTGCTTTTTAAAAAATGTCAGAATGAATTTAAACTTCAGGGTTTGTTCCACAAATATTACTTGTAGGTAATAAGAATATGGCCATGGATAAGATAAATGCACTTAGGGGACTTACTAACTAGTGAGAAAGATGCATTTTATTTTAGAGTCAAAGTCTCACTCTACCGCCCTGGCTGGTGTGCAGGCACACTCATGCCACTGCAGTCTCAACCCGCTGGGCTCAGGCAATCCTTCTGCCTCAGCCTTCCAAGCAGCTGGAATGACAGGTATGAGCCACCACACCTGGCTAATTTTATGACCTATTGTAGAGACAAGGTCTCGCCATGTTGCTCAGGCTGGTCTCGAACCCGTGAGCTTAGACAATCCTCCCGTCTCCACCTCTCAAAGTGCTGGGATTACAAGCGTGAGCCATCGTACCCGGCAGAAAGATGTATTTTACAGTAAAGAGTGATGTGCTTATGAGAAACAAAATGCAGCACGGTTAGAGAATACAGTGGGAAGATCTAACCAAACATCAAAATAAGACAAGATCTTCAGGGAGAAGTGACAATAAATTTGTATGAGCACAGAAACTGTCTATTTGTAATATACATCTGACACAACAATAATTATCCATGGAAAATGGAGATACTTGTTTTCCCTTTCATATAACTGTGTATTGCTGACTTTTAAAAAAACCACAAAAACAACACACACTTGAGCAAAACTAACTTTAAATGATAGAAGCTGCTTCCCACCATTTTGTTCAGTACTATTATATCAGCATGTCTATTGCACTCCAAGATGTGAAGAGATAATAATCCAGCACAAAGGTGATCAAGTGAACATAAATATATGCAGAAAAAACAAGCATTGTTTGTAAGACAGAAAATGAAGCAAAAGATTACTTGAGGGGAAAACACAATCATTTCTTGAGTCCCTACATAAGACCTTAATACCCTAAAAGATCAGGAGAGTCATAAAGAGATTTTTGTTAAGAAAGAACTTTTTTAGTTCATGATGGGTAGGCTCTAAAACAAAACAACCAGTCAACCCACCCTCCCACCCATCCAGAAAGAACTTCTTGATCAATTAGGTACTGTTATGCTCTGATCTACTGATGTAACTCACTGGGAAGGAAAGCAGTATCTGACTTTTTGAAGGAATCTTTATAGGTGGTCATATATCACCTATATCTTAAAAAGCCCATGATGACTTCTGGCCCATTTAATCAAATCATTGAAACTTACTAAGTATTCATCAACTGACAGTCAATCTCACACAACCTGTATTTACAGAAACATAAAAGACACATTCTAAGTGCACCTGAGCCATCAGGATACAAACGTCATTTTTTTTTTTTTTTTTTTTTTTGAGTTGGAGTCTCTGTCGCCCAGACTGGAGTGCAGTGGTCGCTCCCCACAAACGTCATATTTTTTTAAAAACTAACCGTTTTTGTTCTACAGATTTAAACCTCATTTCTACTGAAGTACTCTAGACTAAGTGATTGACCATTACTTTATTATCATAAATGATATTACCTTCTCTTCTGAAGTAAACACTAAAAATATCGGGTAACTTCTGCATTAAGATTTCTGCCATCTGAAGTGCTCCAACTACTATCTTCAGGTCTTGGCTTGATAGCATGGAAGCAATGTGACTAAAAAAGAAAGCATTTGTATATAAAACTCTGCCTGAATTTGTTAATTATTTTTGGCCATACTACTTTAAATTTGAAAGCAAAATATTTTCATTCTGAAACTACTCCATTAAAACAGAAACTTTTCTTAAATGCTCAACACTTATATTTCGAGAAATCTGTGTGTGACTATAAAGACCAAAAAAATCCTCAAGATACTCCAAAAAATCTTTTGGGCATATTTTTTCTGTGCTATTATTTTAGAAATTTCTGTAACTACTTGCAGAGACTTGAATTTCTAAACTGTTTTTACCATTTTCATGAACACACCTTGAAACAGCATGATTTTTCAGAACATCCTTCAGAAGTTCGGCATCCGCAAAATAAATTATCCTAAGAATTGCTCTAAGGCACTTATGTCTGACCGCAGGTCCTGCTGAGGAACTATACACTTCATAAAGAACACCAAATAATGTCTTAATAAAAGACTTAGCCAGTTCCGGATCCTCTTTCATAAGCTGTGCTCGAGCATCATCCTTCTTTAACTCTGAATATCCACCTATTAAAAAAAAAAAACATACAATCCTGAAGTGACAGATTTCAGAAACACAATAAACAACATAAAACATTCAAGCCAATGTAGGTACTTGAAATGCTATTATAATTTTTAAGTTATAAAACAAATTAATTTATCTAATAAGATCAGCTGGGGTTTTACAGAGATACTAAAGACAGTATTAAGACAAAATTCAGCCAGCTAGAAAACCACTGACCATTCTGGTCCACTGAAGACAAACACCACACTGTACTTCTTTATTTTACTAACATACTGGGGAAATGCAATATTAACCACTGGTAAGAAATAAGCAGAGTTTAAGAAATGAACAGTGAGTATTTAAAATTAAGTAAATACAATGTAAAGTGGATAATTTTAAAGGTGATTTTACCACTTTACTTAGTTACATTAGGTGTAGAAAAAAGGTAACTGATAAAAAGTATGTTTTAAACCACCTAAACCATCACATAGTCCTTTTAAAAAAAAGTCTTCTAACCACTGTGTTCCAGACTACAGTTGCATAAGCAATGAAGTAAATCCCTGAACCGTCAAATAAATGTCAGAAACTTGAAAAACAACTATAATTTGTCCTTCATTAGGTAAGAAGAGAATTTTGGCAGGAAGGTATAAAGGTAGGAAAGGACTAATCTGGTGAGTCGACTCCAAAGGTAGATCAGAAATAACATGATTAGCCGGGCTTGGTGGCTCAGCCTGTAATCCCGCACCTTTGGGAGGCTGAGGTGAGTGGATGGCCTGAGCCCGCGGGTTCGAGACCTGCCTGGGCAGCGAGACCTCATCTCTACAATAAATCAAAAATTAGCCGGGTGTGGTAGCACACGCCTGTAGTTCCAGCTACTCGGAAGGCTGAGGCGGAAGGATTGCTGGAGCCCAGCAGGTGGAGGCTGCGGTGGCCGGGAGCGGCCACTGCACTCCAAGTCTGGGCGACAGAGTGAGACTCCAACTCAAAAAAAAAAAAAAAAAGAAAAAGAAATAATATGATTAGATAAAACCTGCATGAGCCAATTCTAACTAGAGTACCAGGACGTAAGTAAAAAAATAATGGGGAATATATGGTCACTACTGGCTCATTCATCAATTACAGCACATAATTTAAAAATAATTACTGTTATGCAACTATCTTAAGCTTAAAAGAATACTACATGAGCAAATTACTACTTATTATGCAAGTAAAATTATTACTCATATGAAAATATAGCACTATTTTAACCCAAAGTGCACTTACTAGTGTTAGTATTGGCTAAGGGGTTAGGTTTTCTCTGAATGGCACGTGCTGTTCCAGTGTCCTCATTGATTTGCTGCATAGAATTAAAATCAATAGTATAAACTCGTCCCAGAGTGGACAAGCTTATCTCATCCTCACCGACCTGATGGGCTGCCTGAGAGCAAAGAGAGAGAAACCTTGAATATAAACATGGAGAAATTTATTACCTTAAGACACAGTGGGGACCTTCCATAAATGCTATCTTACATATTTATTTCATCAGGTCTTTAGTGGCGAAGCAACAAAATATGAAAAATTTAATAGTGTATGTATGACAAAACATTTATTTAGCATATCATTTTTAATTAAACACAGATATATGTCCCAGACCCTATCAGCCACCCTTAAACATAAATCTAGGCAAAATTCCGATGAAAGATTCAGTCATGTAGTATCACTGATGTGAAGTCATTTGTATTAAGAAAGTTTTTAAGGCATCGCTGATAGAAAAGTTATCCATAAATCTTGGTATTCTAATCCTAAAATGAAAATGTTACTTTCATGATGAATTCTTAGCAACCCACAAAATCCTCCTTTAAACAAAATGATTCTCTAAAATTGAGCTTCTTAAACAAAGAAGACTTTAAGGTTGAGAGGGACAGACTAAAAGTAAGAAATTCATCACCAGGGTTGCATGTAATATGCCGAACATATCTAAACTGAGACAGTCTGATTAACACAGTTTGCTTGATTTTAGACAACCTACAAAAGTGACAGAATATTCATTCTTATTACAGAATCCAATCTATGGAACTCCTAGGCTGAATGGAAGACAAGACTCTCAGCACACAGAGTAAGCTAATAGTGAAGGCACAATGATAGAGAAAAATGCGATAAAGAAAGCAAGCTTAGAGTCAGAGACAGTACCAAGAGTGGGCTTGGTCTGTTTATACACTAAGGCTAACTAGTCACAAAAGGCCAAAGACAACTTCCTCCATAAAAGCTAGCTCTGAATTTAGATTTTAAAAACTTGTGATTTCATCATGTAAGTCAATGTTTTAAATTTTTTTTTCAAAAATTCCTATTTAGAAACTAACTAGTGAAAGTCATCTTTAAAGAAGAATGTTCAAGTGTGATATTCTAAAACAAATTCAAACATCAAAGGTTGAAATTAGAAGATATATTAACAGGTATCTTACATACTGGAAATATTAGTAAATAATGCAGTGATCAACACTTTCTAAGCTAGGGTAAATATGCTTAGTTTTTTTAATGTTTCAGTGTAAACTTAATACATACATATGGAAATAAAAATCACACAAAAACTTTCACAGAAAAATCACTGGTAGCATTTTAGTGTATTCCTTTCCTTCATAATTTTTACTTATTTTGCTGAATTCTCAAAAGATTCCCATAATTTTGTATACTGCATTTTAAATTTACCATATGCCACTTTATGTCATTAAAAATTTATCTTATTAGTATCTGGATTATATACAAACCTATGTATGTGTCATTTACTTAATCATTCACCCAGAGCTAGATTTGTTTCCAAGATTTTGCTCTTAAAAAACATTGAGAAGAAGCTATTTGTATGTAAATATTTGCTTGTGGGGGATAAAAGATAGACATGTTGTAGAAACCTATGGCCTAACTCTTCCAATGTTTCCTTTCAGAAATGAGGAAACGATGGAACAAAGAATTTAAATTACTTGCTCCAAGTCAATCAGGTAGTTAGCAGCAGAAGCAGGACTAGAACACCATGTTTTCTGACCTGAACAGAAATGAGGACCTTGTTCTCAGGAGACAAAATGAGAGAATCTTCAGTTAATTCAAAATTGAGCACATTGAAGTACACAGATCCACCTCCCCATCCCATCCCTACACCCACTCTCCACCAAAATAAAACGGTACGATGAAACTACTACCTCAATGATCCGGCTGTCAATCCTGTTATACGGATGCCAGAGGCCCCGGTCATCACGCCACTGCCATATTGCACCATCTGTGTTCTGCGCGTTTCCCTTCTTCAACATAGTATCAACAGCAAAAATGCCTTCTTTTGGTAAACATGGCATAAGTTCACTGAAAACAAAAAGTACAATTATTTTAATAAGTAGCCTTGTGAAATAGTAGTAAATATTAGGTCTCTAAAGAAAAATAGCCTCACACGAACCACAAGTTATTATTAGCCCAATCTTTACCAAATCAGAGATGTCAGTTCATACAGTTCTTGAGGACTTCGTGGAACAAGATCAATCTGTTCCTGACAACTTCCATTAGAGGCACCACACAAAAGGAAGTGAAGCGTTTCTGCAATGTCTGTAAAACCAACAACAAAAAAACGAAAGCCAATTAAACTAGTTATAGTATCTAATTTGAGAGGCGAATATAGCCCCTGGGGGCAGAGGGGCAGAGAATAATAAGAATTATTTTCTTATAAAGTAACTTCATACAGAAATTAGAGTAAAAAATCCAAATAAGTTATAATAAAACCTAAAAAAAAATTTATGTAGATTTTAACAATCTCCTTCTGGGGACTTCACTCAAGTCCAAACCTTCTAGTTGGATGTCTAATTACAATTTCTTCTCACCCTAGATTTCAGGAATCTTTTATTACTTTCCTTGGGGGGCATAATACTTTGTACAAAAGTGCATTCAATGTACTTCAGTTCATTGAATATATTCACATATTTGTCTTCAATTCAAATATACTAAAAACATATAGCCAATAGGATAAAATGTAGCAATTAAAAGCATCTGGATCTTATCATCCTGTGATCAGGAAAATCACTACCTATGTGACACTGATTACATGCAAACTTCATAGAAAGATCTGTCAAGCATTCTATACTGTAACTTTCCATCTGCAGAAGACATCAGTTTCTGGAAGATTCTGCATGATAACATCTCAGATGTATTGACACTGTGAGTAAAGGGAGCTCTCGGTCTTTACAGTTTAATCACTCTAGCAGATGAAACTTAAAGACAGAGCTGGATCTTTGTGAGTAGCAGAATGTGTATATTTGTGTTCATATAAAAATTATACATATGCAAGATATACATAAACATCTAACTGAAATATTTTGCCATTAATCAGTAAATACAGCTATAAAGGAAAATATTCACAGTTGATCTGAGCAAAAAGATGTCAACAGTTAAATCCATGACTCACAAAGATTTCACAAATAGTAATTAAGCTTTTTTTTAACTGCAGTTTTGCCATTTTTAAAAAAAAGAAACCAGAGGATGACAACAAAATGGAGAGAAAACACAGAAGGTCTGTGTTTCCTTTGTAATATTATTGTATAAAGATAGTATAGCAGCCTCCATATGATAAATGTGTGGCAAACTTCCTGGAGTAAGTAAAAGAGGTTAAAACATTCATCATATTAAAAGAAAAAAACCCAAATGTTACCACAAACAAAAGTAAGGTCGCTATTTTCCAAACTAGTATTTAGGGGTGTGCTGTAACAAAAGATAATCTATATTCAAACTTAGAAAAAGTAAGGCTTAAGCAATGTTCAAAAAGTTCCCAGGGACTTTAATAAGTAAAGTGCATTGTGACTACTCAAGGAGTGAACCTTTCCCAATCTTATTTCCGCAGAGTACTTTCTTCATGGCACAAAATGTGTTTTCTGGAATATCTACATTGGGAAAGATTCAATTCTTTAAGAGGAATTTTCTGGCAGGGTGCAGTGGCTCATGCCTATAATCCTAGTGCTTTGGAAGGCCAAGGTAGAAGGAACACTTGAGGCCAGGAGTTCGAGACCAGCCTAGGCAACATGGTGAGACCTCCATCTCTGCAAAACATAGAAAACTGTAAAGACACAGTGGTCCATGCCTGTAGTCCCAGTCACTCGGGAGGCTGAGGCAAAAGGATCACTGTAGCCTAGGAATTCAAGGCTGCAGTGAACCGTGATATTGCCACTGCATTCCTGTCTGGGTAACAAAGTGAGACACTGACTCAAAAAAAAAAAAAAAAAAATCTTTCAAATTAATTTCCTCAAAAACACTGTTTTAGAAAGTTCTGTGACAATGTAACACAACTAAATATAAAACTAGGTTTCCCAAAGACAAAAAATGTGACTGCTATATATACTGTCTGAGACAGTGGGACCAAAAGCTATTTATCAATGAAGGTCATCACTGAATTGATGACATCCTCAGAGATTAGAAGTATGGGTATGAAATTATCCATAATTACAAGTGTTCCATACAAAAGCGATCAATAATCTACTAGAAATAATCATAAAATACAGATGTTTTCTGAAGCCCCACCATTCTCTGACATTAACCTGTGATTTAAGAGAGGAATATTCAACTGCAATAGCAGTGCAATAAAATTTTATTTTCAATACACTGGGTAAGATTGGAAAAGGTTTAGAGATACTAAATTAGCAAACATCAGAGACATTCATCACTGTAAATAAGTCCTAACTTTCTGAGGGAAGAAAGCAATCTGGAATCAGACAAGCTGCTAGAAAATCTAACACAGGAAGAAAGAATTAAAAGCAAAAGACCAGCAGTTACTGTGAGTCCCCTACAAACAAATTCGTTCTGAGAGCATGTTCTTAAGTCCAATTTGTTCCTAAGTCCAACAAAGTTAGCCTAGGTACCCAACCAACACAATCGGCTATATTAATACTGTATTGTAATAGGTTTTAATACTTTTCACACAAATAATACATTAAACATTGAACATAAAAAATAAAGAAAACACTTTTTTTTTTGAGTTGTAGTCTCACTCTGTTGCCCAGGCTGGAGTGCAGTGGCACACTCCCGGCCACCACAGCCTCAACCTGCTGGGCTCCAGCGATCCTTTCCCCTCAGCCTTCCAAGTAGCCAGAATTACAGGCGAGCGCTACCATGCCCGGCTCATTTTTGATTTATTGTAGAGACAAGGTATTGCCAAGTTGCCTGGGTGGGTCGTGAACCCGGGTGGGTCGTGAACCCGCGGGCTCCGGCAACCCACTCACCTTGGCCTCCCAAAGTGCTGGTATTACAGACTAAGCCATCGAGCCTGGTCAAGAAAACTCTTTTAATCTAAAGTACAATAGTATAGTACAGCACAACAGGTGGCATCCAGGGCTTGGCATCATGTGAACAGGCAAGAAGAGGTACTGACTGGAGGAGGTAGAGGAGGCAGGGGATGGTAGAGCTGAAGGATCGTCAGCAATAGGAGAAGGAGGACAAGCTGCAGTTTCACTCATGCTTGATGCTGATGGCACAGGTTCTTGTTCCTTGCTGGATTCAATCCTATCTACCCGCTTGAAAAAAACGATTCAGTGATGCCTGGGTAGTAGCTCTTTTTTTCATCATAGATGACATGGTGGCACTGGGTGGCATCCTGCATGGCTACTGCAACCTCCATGTATCATTCTACGCCCGGGTCCTGTGCCTCAAAGGCTAATAGTGCCTCCTTAAATAAAGAAAATCCCCTTATCATTTCCTGCGCCGTGAGTCTCTTCAGTTCTTCAGTTACTTCTTCCTCTTGTCTCTCTTTGTCCTTTCTCAGAGCCTTCAATTCCATCAAGTTTTCATTAGTGAGCTCGTTGTGGAGTTCAATGAAGCTGTCCTCTTGCAGATCTATCTCCAGCTTCTCACTGAGGGTCATTAAATTGCTGAAAACCTCTCTGGACTTCTCATTCACCTTCTCAACTTTACAAAAATCATGAACAAACTGCAGGCAAAGGTTCTTCCAAACCCCATTTCATGATGACAGCCATAACCTCATGCCAAGCAACGTCAATGCTTTTTTTATGGTCTTGTAAATGTTACAGTCCTTCCAAAATTGTTGCAAGGTTTTTCCTAATTTGTCACTCGTCTTGACTACCTGAAGAAAAATGTGATGTAAATAATATCTCTTGAAAGTCGCTATAATTCATGGGTTGGAGGAGCAGCACAGTATTTGGTGGCAGATGCTCTACTCTGATGGGATAAAAGTCTTCCATGAACAAGGGGTGGCCTGGAGTACTGTCAAACAGCAAAAAGAATGTTGAGTATGATGTCATTCTCCAAGAAGTAGTTATCTATCTCAGGGATAAAGTGGTTGAGAACCAGTCCTACAAAATGGCCTGTGTAACCAGGTTTGGGGGTTACTCTACCACACAACAAAAAAAGAGCCCTTGGCTATGTTTTTAAGAGCTCTTGCGTTCTCTGAATAATAAACTAAGAGAAGTTTTAGCTTCATATCACTGAAAGCATCACCACCAAGCTACAGAGTTAGCCTATCCTTTGCTGCTTTATAGCCTGGCATTAACTTTTCCTTCTTACTGATATAACTTGGTCTGGCATCCTCTTCCAGTACAATCTTGTCTCATCTACATTAAAAATCTGCTTGGATAAATACATACCTTTAATTTCTCAAAGTGTTTCAAGAAATTCCCAGGCAGCTACCATATCTGCATTCACTGCCTTGCCACTTTCTTTTGTGTTGTGAAGGTTGGCTCTAGCCTTGAACTGAGGAAACCAGCATGTCTGACATTAAAAGATGTCCCTTTGATCTTCTCCATATTTGTTCAAGTCTTCGTAAAGGTTTTTAGCTTTCTCTTGAACCAGCATTAACCTGAGAGGGACTTGATGCTGGTGCCAATCCTACATCCACACATTGAGAATTTCTCCATCCTGTTCCACGCTTCTTTGATATTATTGTCGACATCACTGGTACAGCAGACCTTACATATTCCATAATCTTGTTCTTGTTCTTCAGATTTGTGCCGATGGTTGAATGACTCATGTTATAAAAAGAACAACGTCTACCATATTTTCATCTCTCTCCACTCTCTCAATTACTTTCACTTTTGTTTCCATCAGTATCGCTTAGAGTTTTCTTAATAGTACTAGCTGTATCACTGCTGCTTTTATCCTTGCTTCTGGACATCCTGGGCTTGAAATAAAGATCTTGTACTACTGTATTCAATACAGTGTCACAAAGTGCACAAAAGCACAACTTGTAGAGGATGTGTGCACATGACAATATACGCCAGACATATGAATCAACTTATGTGACTGCACATGCAACATCTTTGAGAGTTTGCAACTTGAAGGTATGTATGTAGGTGGCTTTACTGGATTGGTAATATAAAATTCTTATTCTTCTAATGGAGGATCATTATATGACTAACATTATACAGAAATCAATCATCTTGGGTTGTAGCCCTAGAACCAAAAAGGGTTAACTTCTAATATATACTTTTTTAAAAGTGTATGCTAGAAACATTAATGTCCCAGCACAAATGATGACAAGTTACATTTTTTTTCTGTACTATCTAACCCTATATTAGTAATCTCTTCTACTTGCCTGGCTTGTGTTGACTTTATTTATTAATGAAGAATCAACAAGCCAGTTTTCTTGCTTAAAGTAAAATTTAAAAATTGCACTTACTTTGCTTCATAAGTTGAACAGCTAAAGTTGGACAGTTGGAACACATCAGAGAAAACATACGAACCACCATTATAAACATCCCAGAACTTAAGATTGGTGGAGTCACTACCAACAGCTGTTGAACATTTGTAAGCAGATCTTTGGAAGCAACCTGCTGGAGTAAATTCTTTACAAACACAAGAAAAAAGGAATTGTTACATCATGATTCAGTAATTCAACAACTTCATAAAAATACCACCAAAGATTGAATGCTTACTTCTTCGTGTTGGAAGTTGTCCACTAGACGTGCAAAACAAAGGCAAGTGCTTTCTACTGACTTTTTGTCCTATTTTTTAAAAAGAAAGTAAAGCTTATTAATATAAAACATTTTCACTGTCATACATTACTACCTTATCTTCTTGCTAACACTAAATTCTTCAAGGCATGCTCAAATAGTAGATGTAACCTTTGAAAATGAAAATGGGTCTAAGCAAGGTACAGTCAATAACAACATAATTTCAAAGCAGAGAATCACACAAACAAAACAACCTCTCTCCTCCATAAAGGCTCCAACAGATAAAAGCAAATATACAGAAAAGAAGACTATTGTGTTTATATAATCTCAATACTTAGACAAATGTCACACTAAAGGAAAGATAAATAAATATCCTACTTTAGAAACATTACAAGTAGAAATGTTTAAGTGGGTATACACTAAAAATTAGAAAAAGCTTAGGTGTTTGAACCAGAGATCTGTTGATAATGTTAAAAAATTGGGCATAATTTGTTATAGTCACATGAAAACAATATAAAAAGGATTCACTATAAAAAGTGTCACCCTGGCTGGGCTTGATGGCTCAGCCTGTAATCACAGCACTTTGGGAGGCCGAGGCGAGTAGATTGCCTGAGCCCACAGGTTCGAGACCAGCCCAGGCAACTTGGCGAGACCTCATCTCTACAATAAATAAAAAATTAGCCAGGTGTGGTAGCGCAGGCCTGTAGTTCTGGCTACTTGGAAGGCTGAGGAGGAAGGATCACTAGAGCCCAGCAGGTCAACACTGGGGTGTGCCACTGCACTCCAGCCTGGGCGACAGAGTGAGACTTCAACTCAAAACAAAAAAAGTGTCACCACGAGAACAATTTTTTTTGTATTTATTATAAAAACAATTAAGGTGGCCTCACTGAGGAACATTTAAAATAATTCTCATAATAAGAAAGGAAAATACAATTTACTGGTTAGTGTTTTGATAAGCCTTGTTCTTTCTTAATTTATAAGTAGACTTCATATGTAAATTAAGTAGACTTCCTTCTGTAAAAATGAGAATAATTCAGGTATTATAAAAGACTACAGTCTACACCTTTGCTGCTACTACCTAAGTCTAGAACGAATGTTATAAATAGTGGCCAACTATTTAATTTTGCTGATTCTTATGTCATATTTCTAAAATAAGTTGTTTCATAAGTTAAACAGCTAAAGTTGGACAGTTAGATCACATCAGAGGAAACATATGAACCACCATTATAAACATACCAGAACTTAAGATTGGTGGAGTCACTACCAATAGCTGTTGAATATTTATGGCTGAGAATATCACATGGTACTGATTATCACAAAGAACATATTTATAGCTTAGAGAAAGAAAAGATTATCTCAGTCAACTGTTTTTAAAAATAAATAAATTTTTAAAAAATGAATGGTACTGCTGAGTGTGGTGGCTCACGCCTATAATCCCAGTACTTTGGGATTCCTAGGTGAGAAGATTGCCTGAGCCTATGGGCTTGAGACCAGCCTGGGCAACTTGGTGAGACCTCATCTCTAAAATAAATCAAGAAAAACTAGCAGGGCATGATGACACATGTCTGTGGTGCCAGCTACCCGGAAGGCTGAGGGGGAAGGTTATAGGGGGAAGGACCCACTACAGGCCAAGGCTGTAGTGGACATGAGTGTGCTACTCCCCTCCCTCCAGCCTGGGCGACAGAGTGAGACCCCAACTCAAAAAAAAAAGGCACTACTTTGTCTCAATCATCTTAGAACGATTATTCTCCAGAGTGATTCAAATCATTACTATTTTATCTGACATAAATTCCTTATTTGCTTAAAAATATTTGGATACACCTAATTTCCCCAAAGTTTTACGCATGCTTTGTAAAGGCCATTTTAAAACGAGATTTCTGAAAAATATCTTTGGCAATAAACACATTTAACTATTTATTTATAGTAAAATAAAATTCAATTCCTCCATAGTTTTAAAGCTTAACTCACAAATCTGTTCTCCATCCCAGCCCCATAAATCCTGTTTTCACACTGTCTCACCAGATCTCCTGATTCCACCTCCTAAATAATTGCTCTTGCTCTTCTCCAAACCCACATAGCTACACACTCCAATTTTCATTTCTATATGGGACACAGTCTAGTCTCTCTTCTGGTCTTAACCCATATCCTCCTGTTCCACATTCTCCTATTCCAATGCCTTTCAAGAAAAAATAATCTTTCCAAAAGGAAATTCTGATTATATGACATAATAAACACTCAATGTTTGCTGAAATAACAAATTCATCCCTTAAAGTCAAAATAGTTGAAGATATCAAGGTACATGAATTACTGTTCATTTGGGTAAAATTTTGTTAGAAAACCTAACATGACACATGACCTGCTAACACGGAGAAAAAAGATGGAACAAAACACATTCAATTTTATATATCCGGTTAAAAGATTTAAAACACTAAAAATGTCATGTTTTAAAATGTAATAAAAATGTTTTATGACATATTAAATAGGTTCATATTTTACCTGATGGGTTAGCCTTTGGGTTAGCAATGGAAGGGAATCTGCCACAAAATGAAATTCATCTGGTGTGATACTCTGGCAGCAATTGGCTGCAATTGCTAGTGCATTTCTTTGGGCATTTATGCTGAAGAATTCTAGGTAGAGCAAGCAGTCTGCCAAACCACCCTACAAAACAGAAAACTGTTAAGGTGAAGAAAAATCTTTTATCAGAAAAAAAAAAATTAACTAAAAAGTCTAGCACATCACTTTGGAGACATGTGTACCCTACAGAAACCACAATAAAGGAGCTAGTACAAATGTAGATTTATAACCTAACATTAAATGAAACACAGTCCTTGTGTAACAACACTTACCGCCTGTAGAATGGCTTTACTATGTCTCCGTGACAACATCTCCAAGGCAGTCAAGGCCTGCTCTGCCACATCAATACACTGAATAACTTGCAGCTGGGAACATATAAACAGGTAACATAAGGATATCATTTAAGTTCTTTTCTAGTAACTTATCTTCTACATGAATAAACATAGTTTTTCTCTCATTTCCATCAACGTATACTGATTCTAATATGAAACCCACCACAGGAATAAAGTCACAGGACCTTAAGCTATATGGTATAGCCAATATAGTTTGATTCCAACTAATTTGCTTGCTTTCCTGAAAAATGTTTTACATAGAAAATAAACAAAATCCAATTATATAGCTTTAAATTTTCATATTTAAAATAGATGGGTTGTTTTATAGAACAAATTTTAAAAATCAGGTTTCAAACTTTATACTATGTTCCAAGTTTATCAGATAAAGCACATTTTATCATGCACTAATTTTTCAAAAAATCCATTAAGGCAGGCCAAGACTATAAGAAAAATTCCTTTCTCCACTGACTCACTTTTCTGATTGTGAGCAAGGCACTTCATCTATCTCAGCCTTCTCAGCTGTATAATCAGGGTATAAATAGCTATAAACCTCAATGGGATCTTTTCTAGAAATAGGATTACTTTTGATCAAGTGCTTAAGTTATTTTATGAAAGTTGTTATATTAATGTGGTAATTGCTATTATTAGAAATTTTAAAACTGGACTAATTCTATAAATGATTTATCAGCTTCAACTTCAAACAATTAGTCTGCTGAACATACTTTTTTTCCTGGAATCTTGGCTATAAAATATACTTTAGTTAGATAATGGAAGCTGAAATTCAAGAATTTGAAACTTAACTCCGCATATCTGCTTTGAAACAGTTGGGCAAAACTAGGATTACCTTTTCTAAAAAGACAGGAATAGCATCTACTACAACAGCAGATGATCGAGGAAGTGCTTCCATCATATATGTTAAGGCTCGACAAGCATGGTTCATCTAAAAACAAGAAGGGATGTTACTTGTTTCAATAAAAATGAAAAACATAAATACACAATGTTTTAAAAAATACAATATATACTTACAATATCAAAATTATGCTCCATCTGCAGTAAAGTTATCTGTTAAAAAGATAACAAAGTATTAGAAGTTATATTCTTAGAGAAGGGTTCTTAAAGTATTTCCTCCTCTTCTACTTCAACTAAAATGTGAAGTATTATTCATGACTTTTATCACACAAAAATAACATCACGATCAAACCTAGTAGCTATACATAGAAATTATTCTACTTAGGATGACATCCATCACACTATAACTCTGACTTGAAAATGCTACTTGATAACTATCATCCTATGACACAAGTCAATAACAAAGCCTTCTTGTTTACAACAACCCTTCTGGGTAGCTCTAAACCCTTTCAGAAGTTCATTAGGATATCACTGAGGACTTATCAGTGTCAAATAAATACTAGATACATAAATAATCAGGACAAGCAATACACTGTCATCTGTTGAGTTAACAATTATCAGCAGAGATTCAGGAACACAGCTTAAACTCTTGTGAACAAGCTTCTCTAAAAGAAGCACCATTTAACTTGACTATAAAATATAAAGTAATGTAAGATTAAAACATAAGATTGATCACATCAGAAAATAAGTATGCACTAATTGAAGCCAAATTAATACAACTAATACAATTACTCCGCATGAGTGAGTCTAAACATCTGGTTTTATTTTATTTTTTTCTTGTGAAAAAGACCTGAAACAGATTTCAGTCGTATTTTTCTATGAGGGCATGCAAAACTATTAGGGTTACACTCCATCCTCCAGAAACAGCTGAGTCAACAAAGAAATTTCCTTCTTGGGTGTAAGACAGTTATTCACTGTCTTCTAGTTCAACAGATATTTTCAAACTTACTGAATTTAAGCTGCAAAGTACCCTACAATTAAAAGTATAAATATAATAACAAGCATCAGATATTCTAACACAATATTCATTTAATGACTGTCTTCTCAGCTCTGAATTATGCTGCATAGAGTAATCTATGTTATATAACAAAGGTCCTGAGTACTACTTTTGTTTAAAAACACACACAAACATACAAAGCATACACATACAATGTCTCAAAATCACCTAAAACCAGTCACTTAAGACACTTACATCTAATTTGAAAGAGAAAAAAACACTACGTTCCCCAGTTTTTAAAGTAGAAAAAACTTTGTAACACCATCTTTGGGAAAGACTGTTTAAATAGATTCCCTTTCACCAAAAATAATTATTTATGGTCACAGAAGTGTATTGTGATGAACAGAAGTATATTAATAATATTAAATTGTAGATAAAAGATAAATCTGGGCCACTTACTAACAGCTATTAACAGGATGAGTTGACTTGTGCAAGTCAATTAAGTAGCTAAATCTAATCAACAATCAGCACTTCCAGTAAACTAAATTATGTGTCAATATTTGTCTAGACTTATAGATTCTTTCTTTCTTTATAAAACAGTGACGGGGGTTCTGTGTTGCCCAGTCTGGTCTTGAACTCCAGGCCTCAAAGTGATCCTCCCACCTCGGAATCCCAAAGTGCCAGGATTACAGGTGTGAGTCACCACGCCTGGTCTGGATTTTTTATTTACCTACTGTAAACTACATTTTAACTGTACAAAGTATAAGGTAAGCCCACTTATTTGTTGTAATAAACAGCAACATAAAAAAACAAATTTAATTCAGGTCACATAAGCCAGCAATTGAACAAATCAGCAATTAACATAGGCAAAATCTAAAAGGACAAAGGCTAATATTGCTATCATGAAACACACAGAAAGCAAGATGTATACCTTTTACTAGAATGGAACTGATAAGATTTGGAAACCAGCTTTTATTACCTAGAGGTCTGAGTTGCAGAAGGTGAAGAAACTGGTCTATCATTTCTACCCAAGCTGACCCATCCAACCAACAAAAAAGGAAGGACAGGCAGAATAAAAATTTTATCACCTTGCATTTGAGAAGGCTTTTTTTTCTAAGCTCTCTCTATAATTTGATAATGTACCAGCCAAAACTTCATTTTTGTCAGTTGTATTAGTTATGCAAAAAAGAGTTACATGGCATTGAATAATTTCCAAGATAAAATATGTTATAAATGCAATCATAATACTTATATTAGTCTTTTGTTAGTATCCAATTTAGACCTAAATTTTAATCTTAAAGCCAATTTCTTTAATTTTGGACAAAAAAATTAGCAAGCCAATATTTAAAAGCTGTATTATGCTAAGGTGCCTACATTTGGTATGGCAATATTTCTGTCTGTTGTTTTCATATTAAAAAGTTTAAGCAATTAAGCTTCAATACATTTCTAGTATCAATATCAACTCAACTGTTGAAAAACCATTAAAAGTTCTCCTGAATTGTTTTCTTCCTTTTTATTTCCCTCTAGGGGAAGAGGAGACGTAAACATAAAACCTTAGAAACTGGAAGGATTCATATGATTTGAGTGGTCTTCCCAAGTACACATTTACCAAATATGACAACTTTCTGGCCCACAAAACAACCCAGAGTAAACTGCTTCTTATTATTACCCCCGGATCAGCAAGTATGTTTGACATGGTAATACTCAAGGTATTACAGATGAGACAAACAACCTAAAATCAGTCATTTAAGCATTAAAAATCAAATGATGGCTGGGTACAGTGGCTCACACTTGTAATTCCAGCACTTTTGGGAGGAGGAGTTAAGAGAATTCCCTGAGCCCAGGGGTTCAAGACCAGCCTGGGCAACTTGGTGAAATCTCCCCTCTACAATAAATCAAAAATTTACCCAGACACCTGTAGTTCCAGCTACTTGAAAGGTTTAGGATGAAAGACTGCCTGAGCCCAGAAGGCTGCAGTGAGCCATGATCATACCACTGCACTCCAGCCTAGACAACAAATTGAGACACTGACTTAAAAAAAATCAAATGACTATTCATCAAAAAATGTTTTAGAAAATTTACTAACTCATCAACAATTGCTCACATCTATAAGCACGAAATAAAAGCACCAACTCATATTCTCTTAATTTTATCATGCTTTAAAATGTAATGAATGCAATGATCATGGCATTCAGTAAACAATTGCAGCATTCAGATAACAACTGGGGTAAAATGAGGGGGAAACTCTATACTTACCAAAGCTGGAACAACACTCTTGACAGGAAACCCTCCCAGTGTCTCCTCATTTCCCATGACTAATAGCTGACACATTTCAATAACTGCCTGAAGCTGCTGGCTTTCATCACTGGCTTGTAATCCTTGCAGAAGCTGTTGGGCCTTAGAACCTTCAATAAAAAAGAAATAATCATTTTTAAACATTTAAGAAAATTATTATTAGGTGTAAGGTGTGACTTTAATGATAACTGGCTACTTATCTTCTTTGGATTCCAATTAAAGACTAGTTCTATGTTAGGGTCAACACATGCTGCTGACATATTCAAGGTTGAGTTATATTAGTTATATTAGCTCTGCCTCAAGGTAATCTCACAGTCATGTATACATTTTTGCCTTTTTAATTGAGAGAAGTTAATTGCTATTTACGTCCAAATACCTGCACCAGAATAAACAGAACCCAAGTACAGTGAAAGGGTAAGAAAATAAAAATAAACAGAACAATGCAAAGAAAGGGAAAACAATGAAGTACTCTGCAAAAACCGCAAAACTATAGGCTCATACATCTTGTTTCCTTTCATGCACAGATGCTGGCTGAGTATTTCTACTATTAAGACTCAATTCCGTTATTCAAGCAATTGAAAAACTCTGACTCAACTACCATAGAGAAATAAACTGTCATTAGGCTGAACAAAGCACTCAAAAATAAAGTCTACAAATGTGTTTCATTTCTCCCTGAAACACCTTCCTACTTGAAATGACAATTAATTCATTTAATGCTTACCTAATTTATATGTGATATTACTTTCAACCTTTTCACTTCTTATACTGTATTCAATTTTTCCACTCCCATACCATTACGTATTGAAACGTGGAGAAACAGAATATACTCATAGGTTTGGAAACTGTCAATAAATGTGGAACTCACATCAAAACCAAAGTTGTTTATTTCACAATTAAGCATCAGTGATATTTCTGGGGGGATAAACCACTCAAAGGGGCACAGGGTAACCCATGGAAGCTTTGTTTTCTGTATTATTTAAGACTGTCTATTGTTGTCTACTTTCCTTCGCCATAAATATCCCATGGCTACCGCTGCCTACCTAACTTTACCATAAGTAAAAGTCTATCCAAAAATATACTGCAAAAAAGTCAAATTCAGAGAAATGTCATTTAAAAATTTTAAACTGTATAATATCAATTCCAGTTAGAGTACGTATCATTTTGTGTTGAAATATTATGAAAGGAAAAACAAAATGATAAGAAAGTAACTAGTGAAAACAAAAAAAGCCTCAGTTGATTCTAACTTTAAAAGGACAAACAATCATATCAAATATGTACTAATAGCACAACAACTTAGAAAAAAACCTGGTGCATATGTCACTGGATGGATGTCTTATAAACATTATGGCTGGCATTCTAAGGAAACAGATCTTTTTTAAAATGATCAAAAATCGTCAATACCAATAAACATTTGAAATGTTCCTAAAAATAACTTATGCCAAACTGAAAATGACAACAAAAAGCCAAAACTATAACTTACCATCGATCTGGGAAGAGAAACCAACTTATAATCAGTGGATTTTGGATTTACAACCATTTTATAATCTTAAAAAATACTAAGGAAACCCAAAATTTGGATTATATTTATCAAAAATTTTGAAATGTGTTTAGAATTAAAACAAAATTTTAAAACATTTCCAATTAATTAACTGCATATTAATACATATAAACAACATTTTTATTTAAAAAGATTTCATTTTCCAAGACAAAAAAAATTAATGAGAAGAGTGGCATTGGGCTGGGCATGGTGGCTCACACCTGCAATCCCAGCACTTTGGGAGGCTGAGGCAAGAAGATTGCTCAGGGGTTCAATACCAGTCTGGGCAACTTGGTGAGACCTTATCTCTACAATAAATCAAAAAATTAGCTGGGCTTGGCGGCATGCACCTGTACTTTCAGCTACTTGGAAGGCTGAGGCAGAAGGTTAGCCTGAGCCCAGCAGGTCAACACTCCGGTGGCCGTGAGCATGCCGTGAGCCTGGGCGTCAGTGAGGCTCCAACTCAAAAAAATAAATATAAAAAATAAAAGGAGTAGTATTACTATTTATTTGTTGCAAATCATTTTAATGATAGGCTTAATAAAAGACAGCTGGATTCTCAACTCTCCATCTACATTCAATCTGTGGCATGTTATTTGAGACAAAGTACTCTTGTCCCTTGGTATATTCAGGTAAATGTTTCCATAACTGTTCTTGATACCAAAATTTGCACATACTAAAGCCCCGTGTGAATTTGAAAAGTCTAGTCTTCATATCTGCAAGTTTCACATCCCAAGAATACAAGTATGGTTGTGGATGTGGAATCCACAGATAGGAAGGACTGACTGTATTTATTGGGAAAAAAAATTCACATATAAGTGGACCCATGTGGTTCAAGCCTGTGTTGTTCAAGGGTCATCTGTATATGATAAGATGGGCCTTATTTTGTCTCAAAGATTATTAAAAAGATATGTACTTAGGAGTAAAGATCTAATTAAATTAACTTTTTAGCCAGGCTTGGTAGCTCAGCCTGTAATCTCAGCACTTTGGGAGGCCGAGGTGAGTGGATTGCCTGAGCCCGCAGGTTCAAGACCTGCCCGGGCAACTTGGCGAGACCTTATCTCTACAATAAATCAAAAATTAGCCGGGCGTGGTAGCACGCGCCTGTAATTCCAGCTACTTGGAAGGCTGAGGCGGAAGGATCGCTGGAGCCCAGAGGGTTGAGGCTGCGGTGGCCAGGAGCGTGCCACTGCAACTCCAGTCTGGGCGACAGAGTGAGAGTCCAACTCAAAAAAAAACAAAAAAAATTAACTTTTCTTCATCCTTAGGTGAAAGTGGAATTCTATTTACTAGGACGATGTGGCCTTGAATAACACAATGACTGCTAGGACAGCTCCACCACTTTGATTCTTCAAGTGCCAGCATTATACCCACCACAGCTCCTGCACCCTCAGTTCAAACAGCAACAAAGTGGAAAGAAAAACTTTAGTAATTATTATTAGTTTTGATCTTACAGATTCCAGACAAGGGTCTCAGGAACCTGTCTAGGGATCCACAGACCACACTTTGAGAAGCACTATCATGGATCAGGGGTTGGCAAGCAAACATTTTCTCCCAAGGGCCAGACAATAATTACTTTGGGCTATACCGGCCATATAGTCTCTACTGCAACTACTCAACTTCTAGCACTGTGGCTGGAAAGCAGCCATAGTACTAACACAAACATATGAACATCACTATATTCCAATAAAACTGTATGGACACTGAAATATGATCTTCATTTAATCTTCATGTGTTACAAAACACTATTCTTTATAAAAATATTTTCATCCATTTAAAAAGGTAAAAGCCATTCTTAGTTCACAGGCTGTACAGGAGGCTGAATTTGGCCTGTGAGCAGTAGTTTGCTGACTCCTGATATGAATGAGAAACTCACAGTGCTTGTAGGTAATCAAAGGAGGATAACCTGTTGAATTAGCACCACCAGATATATGCTGAGTTTTAGAACTGTGAAAAGCACTGAGGTTCAGAGTGAAAATATATGATATGATAAAATAAAATAAAATTCCCTGCAGTCTCATAGTTTTTCAAAGCCAAAGTTCTAAGAGAAGAGTCTTGACTCAAAAACACACAGCTGATACCAGACCTTCCCAAGACATCTGCCATAATCAGCTCAAGTCCTGATTGGAGTTAAAGTGATCAACTAGGGACGCTTTATTTTTAGTTTTTAAAAAAGGAAAGAAAACCATCACTAGCAGAAGATACCATTTCAGGTCACTTCAGTTCTTTTGTACAAAATGTCTGGCATATAATCAAAAAATTACTAGACTTATAAAGAGTTGAGAATATGGGAGTAAGACTCAAGAGGAGGAAAAAGACAATAAAAGCAGACTAATACTACTAGAATTAAAAAACAAGTATTTTATAACTATGATGACTATATATTGAAAATATAAACAAAGATGAACAAAATGAATAAAAATGTGCAAAATTTCAGAGAACTAGTATCTAAAAAAAAGAATCAAAGAACCATCCATAACTGAAAAACAGTTATCTGAAATTTAAAACTCACTGATGAGTTTAACAAAAAACAGATGAAGACAGCAGAAAGAAGAATTAGTGAATTTGAAAACTAGCTGATAGGAAGTTTTCAAACCAGGCAAAAGGAAAATATTCTGGAGAAAAAACCCAAAATAAAAGCCGGAGAGACATGCTGAATGCAACCCAAAGTTTAAAAATATATGATCTTGATGTTCCCCAAAGCAAAAGAGATAAAATATTTGATGAGATAAGGGAAATACTTGACAAAATAATAGCTAAGAGTTTCGCAAAACTGATGTAAGATAACAATTCACATATTAAAAGGTAAGTGAAGACCAAACAAAGTGTCAAGAGAAATGTCACCTTAGCCCGAATATAGCCAAGCTATAAAAAAAAGAATACTTACTAATAAAGAAAAAAAAAATTATTTTAAAGCCAGAGAAAAAAAGACTTTGCCTTAAAAGGGCAACAGTAAGACTTTTAAAGAGAAATTGTGTTAGCTGGGTGTGGTGGCGTGTGCCTGTTTAGTCCTAGCTACTTGGGAGGCTGAGGCATGAAAATTATCTGAACCCAGGAGTTTGAGGCTGCAACCATGTCACTGCATTACAGCCTGGGTAAGAAAGTGAAACCCTGCCACAAAGTAAATAAATAAATAAATTTTAAAAAAGAGAAATTGTGGAAGCCAGAAGCCATCCTGAAGTGCTAGGAATTTTATGCCTGAGGAAAATTCTTTAAAAATAAAGGCAAGTAAAAAAAATAAACAAAAATAAAGGCAAGTTAAGGATTGCTTTAAAAAAAAAAAAAAAAAAAGGAGAGAGAAATTATTACTCATAGCCCAACACCATGTTAAAAAAAGTAATAAGTTCTTTGGGCTAGAGGGAAGCAATCCTTAATAGAAGAAACTGCAAAAAGGACAGTGGAATGGACAAATATGTGGGCAAATACACAAGAATAAGGATGGTCTAAAATAAAAATTATGTCTCATCAAGTTTATAACACAAATATAAGTAAAACAAATTAAAACAGCATAAAGGATGGCAGGTGATAAAAAAATTAATGAACTGTTTTAAGAGTCTTGCACTATTTGGGATACGATAAAGTATTAAGATAGGCAACAACAAACCAAGGATATACATAAAAATCATTAGAGCAACCATTAAAAAAATATGAAAAGATGTATAATTGAAAAGTTAATAGAAAAGAAATAATAATAAAGAATACTTGATTAATCCAAAACTACAAGTTGATTCTTTTTAATCTAGCAGTTTGCTAAAAATCCAAAAGCTTGACACCAAACTGTTGTTATACATGACTACTGGAAAAGTAAAACGGTAAAGCCCCAAAAGAGGGAAAAGTTTCGTATGCATTTATACCATTTTACACAACTCTGCTTCTAGATATCTATACCAAAGACTGGAAAAAAAATGTAACAGCTATATTTTACTGCAGCACTATCAATAACAAAAAATTGAAAATAACTCAGATGTCTAAGAACAGGCAAGTGGCTAAATAAACAATGTATACCCACACAATGGAGTAATATGGCAACTTAACAAATGGAATAGCAGTTAGTTCTATTTGCAACATATATGCAGCAGCTATGAAGACTGAACACCAAAATACAATGTTAAAAGCAAAGTGTATCAAGCTTGCTAATCTTAATTTAAGAAGACATCACATAGGTCAGCCTGGTGGCTCACGCCTATATCAGCACTTTGGGAGGCTGAGGTGAGAGGACTGACTGAACCACCCCAGGTTCAAGAACAGCCTGGGCAACCTGATGAAATTTGCTCCATGATAAATTAAAAAAAATTAGCCAGGCATGGTGGCGCATGCTTGTAGTTCCAACTACTTGGACAGCTGAGGCAAAAGGATGGCCTGAGCCCAGTCAGGTCAAGACTGTGGTGGCCAAGAGCATGCCACTGCCCTCCAGCTTGGGTGACAAAGTGAGACTCCAACTCAAAAAAGAAAAAAAAAAAAAAAAAGACATTGCATGAATAATATAGAGTCTTTAAAAGTAAATAACAAAATGACAAGCCATAAAAATTTAAAAGGCTATATATGTGAGAGGAGGAAACAGGGAAAAGAGGTAAAAAAAAAAAAAAAAAAGAGAAGTCTTTTCTGAATATACATGTAAGTATTATGTAATTATAAAAGCAAAATTAAATTTTAAGAAGCAATCCCTAAAAATCAAAAGTTAAATGAAGCAAATAACCAAACCAACTTGGCAGCAGGAACACAGAGAATTATTTTGAATGACTTTAAAACACAAAAACTTGGCCACAGAGTAGGAAATATCCTAAGAACAAAAGGAACTGTAGATAAAATTTTAAACTTTCTCAATAAGAATACTTTCAATGGCAAGTTAGAATCTTATACTGTAAGATAAAGCAAATGAGTTCATATATTATTATCACTAAGAATTAGAAATGAGAAAAAAAAGACATAACGCCAGTGAAGTTAGATTAAAACTTTGCAGTCAAATAGAAAAGAAAAAACAAAACTCTGCAGTCCTAAATATAAATTGGTATTATCAGAATCAACTTTTAAAATAAGATAAAATACAACTATTTCTTAGTCACCATGCCCAGCGAAAAATCCATTGTTAGGCAATTTTGTTATTGTACACACATCATAGAGTATACTTACACAAACCTAGATGGTGTAGCCTACTATGTACCTAGGCTACATAGCATAGCATACTGCTCTTAGGCTACAAAGCTGTACAGTATATTATTGCACTAAATACTGAAGGCAATTGTAACCTGATGGTAAGCATTTGTGTATCTAAACAGATCTAAATATAGAAAAGGTACAGTAAAAATATGGTATAAAAGACTTTTAAATAATAGTATACCTATATAGGGTACTTACAGGACTAGAAGTTGGTCTAGCTAAGTGGTGAAGGCCTACAACATTCCTATGTATTACTATATATATATAACTATAGAAAACACTGTACACAAAGGTACAATAAATTTATTTTTAAATTTTCCTTCAATAAATTAACCTTAACTTACTGTAACTTTTTTACATTATAAACTTAAAAAAATTTTTATTTTGTAGTAACAATTAGCTTAAAACACATACTATACAGCTGTACAAAATTTGTTTCTTTTGATCCTTATGGTACAGTTCTATTTTAATTTTAAAAATTTTTTTACTTACTAATAACCTTTTTTTTAAAACTAAGACACAAATACACATTAGCCTAGGCCTATGCAGGGTCATAATCATCAATATCACTGGTCTTCCACCTCCATATCTTGTCCCACTGAAAGGTCTTCAGGAAAAATGATGGCCATAAAGCTGTCATCTTCTATATTATCAATACCTTCTTCTGGGACATCTATTGCCTGTGGCTGTTTTATAGTTAATTGATTGTGTTTGTTTGTTTTCAGTAAGTAGAAAGAGTATATTCAAAATGATAAAATGTATAGTAAATACATAAACGAGTAATGTCATTTTTAATTAAGTACTGCATATATAGGTAGGTGACAAATTTTTCAGCTCTGTTATAATCTTACGGCACTGACAACATATATGCAGTCCATTGTTGAAGAAAAAGTCATTATGTGACTGGCACATGACTGTATATAATGCCTGGGAATAATTTCAAACTAATATGGGAGAAGGGACGTGAGTGAGGGTAAAGAAAAAGATTGGACATGAAGTAGGCACTGTTGATGCTGAGTCATAGGCACAAAGAGGCTGTCTGCTACCCTGGTTCTAGTCTATGGTTTAGATTAATTTAATATGTAAAGGTTGACCCTAAATACAGCTTTGAGATGTTTGAATGTCAACACTCTTAGGTAGTCTTACAACAATTTTTCCTCTCAGCCTTCTCCCGGAAACATATGAAGTGGTAAAATAATAAGATCAAATTTCTCTTAAAAAAACAAAACTTAAGAAACATTATCTGATTGCAATGCAAATATCATATTTTCATCCCAGTTCAAAGAAACATTTTTATTTTTTATTTTTTCAAAGAAACATTTTAAAATGGACTTATGAGAGGACAGGACCATGTGAACTCTGAACAGATCTTTTATAAAAGTATAGACTTAATATAACCACAATATTATTTAAAAATTTTTATGTACATACACTTATTTTTATAGCTATAAATTCAAGTGTATGCAGATGAAATGATGACTAGGATTGGCTTAAAAATAATCTGAGGAAGGCAGGCACAATGGCTCACACTTGTAATCTTAGCATTTTGGGAGGAAGAGGCGAGGGGACTGCCTGAGCCCAAAGGTTCAAAACCAGCCTGGGCAACTTGGCAAGACCTAGTGTCTCTATAATAAATAAAAAAAAATTAGCCGGGTATGCCAGCTGCATGCAAGGCTGAGGTGGAAGAATAGTCTGAGCCCAGCAGGTCAATGCTGCAGTAGCTGTAAGAATGCCACTGTACTCCAGCCTAGACGACAGAGTGAGATTCTGATTCAAAAATGATAATGATAATGGTAATTATCATCATCATCATCTGAGAGGTGAGGAAAATGGTTGATAAATGAAGCAATAATAGCTGCTGTGGATTAATAATTGTTGATGGGCTCATGGAGGTTATTATACCACTATACTTTCAACTTCTGCGTATAGTTGACCTTTTCATAATAAAGACCACGTCAGTCTCTAAACTCCTCAAAGGCTCCAGACTGTCCTTAGTTTAAAACCACTACTTTTTGCTGGCCTGCGGAAATTTTCCATAATTAGTTAGGCAAATGCCTACAACTCTTAGCTGACTTCCACAACTTTTCCTTCTTTCTTTCCACAGGTGCCTCTCGCTATTTCTTAAACTTGCCAAGCTTACTCTCACCTGTGATGTTGCACATGCTTTCCTTCAGACCTCTGCAAGCCTGGTTTTCTCACTTCACTAAGATCTCTACAAAAATCACCATGCCTCAGAGAAGGGCTCTCTAGTTTATATACATCACTCTACTAATCAACCTACATGCTTACTCTGCTTTGTAGCACTACTTGAAATGTTATCCAGTCATTTTCTTGTTTGTTGCTAGGGTCACCCTGTTTATGATTCAGTATAGTCTCAGAGGCTAGTTGACACTAACCGCCCCCCCGCCAAAAAAAAAAAAAACTATATTTAAGAGTTCATGAGAACTTTTTGGCAGGGTATATAAGAGATGAATGTTAGGGCAGCAAAAGCAAAACAAAAAGAGAAATACCAGCTGCTTCTTAAATTTCTTTACCAAACACCAAGTTCAAAAATGAAAGAGCTTCTAGTACACGAATGTGAGCACATGTACAAACACTGTATTACTTAACAACAAACAAATAAAAAACTTGAACTGCTTGGTGGCAAATTATATAAGCACACATTAGTAAGGTCAGAGCTACTGGGCCTCAACAGCAGTTTACAAATTGTGTAATTAAACAAGACTAAGTCTACAAATAGCCTACTGATTCTATAGAAACACTGCAATCAGGTTATGAGAATGTTTAAATGTAAATGTTAACAAAGCTAAATATAATATTCTATACCAAAAGAATTTAACTGGATTTATAATTACACAAAAATTTTTTTAGTTATACGTTGAGACTTCAAGAGTCAGTGGTATATCAACCATATATGATAAGATCGCTGGGTTATAATACAATAATTTCATGAGTGTAGTGACTGGTAATTCTGAGAAATCTTGCTTCTCAGGTTCATATTAAAACTGACGGTCTTGTTTTCAATGTAATCATTTAAGATTCTCTACTCTTCTATTGTTTAAGCAAAAACAAAGATTCAAACTTGCTATATAATGATTCCAAGTCAGTGATAAAAAATTAAGTACAGAAGGAAATCTTAGTTGTTGTATTTAACATGAGAATGTACATAAGCCCTATTTTTAAAAATGGGTTGAAGCTCATGAAAACTTCCTAATACTTACATCAATAGGCTACAGGTAAAATTAGAAGTTAACTATTTACTGCAGAGTTTCAGGGAAGAAAAAATTTAAAAGTATTTACTTACTAGCTCCGCTTCCGATTGTTCTATGGAAAAGTTGTGACATCCGAGGACCAAGAGGACCAAATAGGTGAGGGGGAAGACCCCTGGCCTCTAACAGAGCTAAAGAGAAAAGAAGGGTAGGGGAATAGCTGAGTTGATTTAATGTAACTGATCTTATCTAAAATATTCAAACAACTGGTTCAGTTAATTAATTTAGTCAGTGTTACTTTCCATTCTGGATTTTAAGAGGAGCTACATTAAATTTTCAAGACCAACCTAGTATATTAATGTAATTAACATAAACTGAAATACACATGTGTCTTAACGTTTTATTAAAAAAATATCAGTACCAACAAAAACTGTGTACATATTCTAAGCACAAAACCCAAGATAATTATTTACTTTGAAGAAATTATACGTTAAGTGCCCTTGACTTATTTTCCCTCTGACATTACTTCCCAGTCAGATATCGGTAATGAGATCCTCAAAAAATATATGAAAATAGTACATTATTTTTGTCACTTCCCCAAAAGTGGAAAAAAACATGTGTCCATGAGAGTCCTAGTCAAAAATAGTTTTAAAAACAATCTGAAGCTGATTTAGAAATAATATATTTCTTGTAAGCCTCACATTGGGGATCTATTTAAATCAATCATCTAGATAAAAATACATACCCATCTACTTGTAAAGACAATATACATAAGACTCTTTTTTGTAAAAGCACTTTAAAAATTTAGTTTATGTATACACCATACATTTATTTTGGAATAGGAAATCTAATGGCAAAAAAACACCTTACTAAATATATTCATAATGTTATCAGATACCAGAGAACAATATATTAAACTATGGCTTTTTCAAAATGTTTCTTAACTTACTACTAAAATCAGTTACACATGCAAATACATTTTTAAAAATTTAACAACAAAAATATACTATGTTTTGTCTAGTCAATCAGTAAAAATGAAGAGGCAGATAGCCTCTTGTTAATTCCAAATCATCAAATCACCACTAAGAAGCTTGTTTTTGGAGGTAAAGGGATTGCTAGATTGTGCTCAAATGAATTTATTTGAATTAATTTCAATAAAGAACAATAGTAACAGGCAGTCCATGGCAATGGTTTCCTGTAGGCTCAGTAACTGACTTTACCTTGTAATCGTCCCATCTCGGAATCATCTGATTCACTTTCCCCAGAGGTGGTCATGCCAACAGCCCCTGCAACAGAACTAGAGGCTTGGGGGGAGAGGGGAAGATGAGAGTTAGGAGAGGAGCACTTTAACTCATTATGCCTGGTTTATCTCACAAAAGAAAAATCAAAGTTTCGTAGACTACAATGAATAAAGGCAATTAAACTTGTCTTCCTACTGCACACTCAGCTGTCTGTTCCTCTAGACTTCATCCTATAGCTTTTAGGAACAAAAGGATAGCTCAACTATTTTAGTATTAAACCAAGCGTAAAAATACGTTTGCATTTCATTCACATATGGCTTCTTTGCAACTTTTCTTAAATTAAAAAGAGTTCTTGTCCTGAACTCCTCTACCAAAAGATAATAAAGACAATACTGCTGAAACTATTGTGATATTTAATACATAACCAATTAAACACAAAAATAATAAAAAGTGAAGCTGACATTTTGAGGAAATGTTCTATGTAGATGTGTGCCTTCTAAGTTTGTTCCTAGATTGTGGTCTTGATACAATCATTTATCTGTTTTCTCTCATTTGAAGAGTGTAAAAAGATATTACAACTAGTAGATGGCTGCAAAGCACTCCTATGAAGTATAAAAGAGATAGCAACTATAAGATGTCAATACTAGTGTAGAATGAACAGTTAAGACTCAGGATCTTATCCAAAATGCTAACCTGAACAACAACAACAACAACAACAAAAAACAGTCTAAGCTAACAGAGCTAGATTCTACTATAAATCTGACCAGGAGGTGAAACTGTATTATTGCAAAACTAGCAGTTTACTGTGCCTCTAAGTGTCTGTTGAGTTCTAAAGCATTTTTATACAGATGATTGATCTACATATGACCATATCTTCCACAATACCTTAAGCCCTGTATACTACAAAGATAATGACAGAAAGTAAGGCAAAAAGAATTTCTGTCATTACTGTTAAAAAGGTACATGAATAACATATGTGTATTTAAAGAGCTTTTCTGAATAAAGAGATGCCAATACAGCAGCCACCCACTCTGTATTTCCATAATATGTTCAAATGTCATTTAGTATTTCTATAACTTCATTGGGAATTTTTTTAAACTTTTAGAAAAATTTATGGTTTAAAACAGTTTTAGCAAACTATGGCCCAAAAGCCAAATCCAGTCCAACACATGGTTTTGTAAATAATCTTTTATTAGAACATAACTGTACTCACTCATTTACATGTCATCTGCAGTTGCTTTTCATGCTACAACCACAGAACTGAGTACTTGCAACAGAGTCCATACAACACATATAAGGAAATTAACCAATAACTACACTGTATGGTGCTACTCATAAGGAGCATTTATCAGAGACTTACTATATGCAGGCATTGTCTATGTTTCCTCATAACTGTACAAAAAGGTATTATAAGCTTCATGATGAAACAGAGGCTTATGACTTTAAGTATACTTGCTCAAGGTTAGATAGTTGGTAATGGATCAGAGATTTGAACCTGGGATGTCTGACTTCACAGGTTGTACCCTTAGGAACTTTACAACTCAAATATATTCTTCAACAGTAATTTTAAATTCAAACACAGTTGTTTCTTCACATTATGCAGAAACCCTGTTAACAAATATTATTACTAGGTACAATTTTGACTGAGTTTGTTAAAATAGCTCAACTTGTTTCAAAACTCTTCCACTTATGTGGAAAACAAATACTACAAAGTTATAACAAATGAAATAGTTAATATTTTAAAGTACACTCTGGAGTCTACATATTAAAAAAACGAACACATCAAAACTTTACCTGTTAAGGTACTGCTGATTTTTAAAGTTTATTTCTTAGAGGAACTACTTTATTTTACTTTAAAATGTTCTACATACCTACAGACATTAAAGGATTCTACTTTACACTGCTTGTTAAACATATTATTCTAATGACTTCTATAAAGAATATCTCAAATTGCACTGCCACAAAGACATTAATTAAACAAGTCATAAAACCTGGAAAATGATGATTAGAAGAACTGCCAAGGTTCTATTATAGCAGAATCCCAATCTTCAGGGAGCCACAAAACTATTACAAGAAGTAGTGGAGAACCTTTGGTTTTCAGTGAGGGTGGGATGCCAGTTTTGACAAAAAATAGTTACAAAGAAAAGTATTCTTTCACCAGTCCTTTGAAGACAAATATTAAGCATTTGTCCACTGTAGTTCATTTTATGCATTTTTTAAAAAATTAGATAATGCAATCTGGCCAAGACTTTTGGCTAATCTAATTAGGAATGGAGAGGTGGCTGCTTTGTAAAGTCGTGCAGATAAGAAAACATAATCAATGAGTCAACTAAAGTTCTTCAGTAATAGCTTCAAACCTCCTTGAGCACAGGCACCATTTTTGTCCCCAGAATCAAATACAACCATCAGCAGACAAAATCCAATGGCAGACCAATCTTTTTGTTTTAAATTAGATTTTTCTCCTGTTTAGTTTTAGCATATCCTCACAGTGTCATGTCATATAGGTTACAATTTATGCTTGAGTGAAAACAATGAGGAAAAATATTTTCTAAATCAGAACACAAAAATTCTATTATGAGATGCCAAGTTTTAACACCTTAGCCAATGTACTCTCTTAACCAGAAAGCAAAGATAAAATAACAGAACGCACTCAAGAATTAGATTTTACTTGCCAAAAGCTGCTAAGAGTTTACCCTAAGTACAGGAAGCAATACAAAGATTTTTTTTAAGTGTTACAAAAGAGTTGGAGTAAGGTCAGAAGAATGGTTAGTTAAGTAAATATGCCTTAAACATGGGCCTCAGCATAAGCAGTGGTACTAAACAAAAGCAATTAGAGAAAAATTTACAAAACTAGGCTGCCTTCTTCTTACAATCTTAACCCTGATTGCATCTTGTGAAATTATGAATATCCTCAAAACTAAATGTAGGTGCCAGAACATAGATAGCCTATTTTTCCCTATTTTGTTGTTTTGCAAGTATAAAAAAAAATACTTAATTCCTTACTTTAATATCCCTAATATTTGCAAGACTTTATCAACACTATAAAGGGCTGTACAATTCTGAGTAAGTCCAAAACTAAGAATGCGTAAGAGTTCACCTCTAAACCTTGAAACAGTGTGGCAACTATTTAACTTCCAATTTCACAAGCTAGCATTTTTTATATGATGAGCTAATGTGACTGGGCTTGAGGAGAACCTAAGGATCTATACCAGCAGGAAAACTATTTTTTTTGAGTTGAAGTCTCACTCGGTCGCCCAGACTGGAGTGCAGTGGCCGCTCCCGGCCACCGCAGCCTCGCCTGCTGGGCTCCAGCGATCCTTCCGCCTCAGCCTTCCAAGTAGCCGGAATTACAGGCATGTGCTACCATGCCCGGCTGATTTTTTGATTTATTGTAGAGATGAAGTCTCACTGCCCAGGCGAGTCTTGAACCCGTGGGCTCAGGCAATCCCCTCACCTCAGCCTCCCAAAGGCACAGGATTATAGGCTGAGCCACCGAGCCCGGCTAGCAGGAAAACTATTATCCACAAACTTTGCTGAGTGTCAACAACACTGGCAAAGTCAGGTTGATAAAGCAAGATGGACAAAGATGACGCAATGGTTTAGTAGCTACAGATAAAAAACACATTTGCTTCAATGATTCCACTGAAATAGGTCTTTAAATTAATGATTTTTTAAAAATAAAAAAGAAGAATTGAAGAAGTAACACTGAAGAGAAAAAGCCATCTTTTAAAAAAAATAAAAATATTATTTCAAAATAAATGATTCAAATTAAGAAAGACATATATTAACTATAAAAGAACTGTCTGAGAACATATATTCAACAAAGGGTGCTCCAAGTCCCTGAAGCTAAACGCCACACTAATTGCAAGGTTTGTAGTTTTCTTTAAGTTTCCATTTTACACATAGAGAAACTAAAGCACATTGTACTGAAGTACTTAACACAAGACTGCTAAGAAATTCACTGTTTTCCCCATAAATACTTTTGTGAGTCAGCAAAGAAATGCCTATCCATAAGAGATCTATCCTCCAAATTGTAACGAAGCCAGTGCTCCTCTAATACCAGTGAACATATCACATGCATTTTTAAATCACCAACTACATGTATAAACTTGAAAAACACCTATATCATGCTGTGATTACAAATGTGAATGACAGTAAATACCTGAATGTGTTTAGGATGGCCGACTGAGGAGCCAGATCCCTGCAAGTTTTTATCCTCTTAAGTAAATGGATTAGGAAACAAAATTTGACCCCACTCAACCTACCCATTCCAGCCTTCAATTATATCCATATAAATTAAACAAACTCTTTTAAAACAGAACAGCATAGTAGCTATAAATGTGCACTTGATTTCTTTTCTTTTCTTTTCTTTTTTTGAGTGGGAGTCTCACTCTGTCGCCCAGCCTGGAGGGCAGTGACACGCTCACAGTCACCACAGCCTCAACCTGCTGAGCTCAGGTGATTCTTCTGCCTCAGCCTTCCAAGTAGGTGGAACTACAGGCATGCACCACCACACCTGACTAATTTTTCTTGATTTATTATAGAGATGAGGTCTCACCAAGTTGCCCAGACTGGTCTTGAACCCCTGGGCTCAGGCAGTGCTCTTGCCTTGGCCTCCCAAAGTGCTGGGATTAGAGGCGTGAGCCACCGCACCCAGCCATGATTTCTAAGACCTGGATTTGAGAAGTCACACATCCTAGCTTATAATCCTAAGAAAGCTTAACCAATACCTGTCTGTTTTTCCTCATTTATAAAATGGCAATAACAGCACTCACACCTCAGCAGAATGTTTTGAATATTAAATAAGAATATATGTAAAGTGCTTAATACTATGTCCGCAATAGTGTTCACACTATAAATGTTAGCTATTATAATGATTTTAATGAGTCTACTTTAATAACACATATTCCGCAGCTCCATTTCTGTCATCCATTAGGAAACTGCCCCACTTCCATATTCAGACTTCTAATAAACCTTAAAAGACTGAGAAGGAACATACAACACTGGCAAGGATGTGCTGTATCACAACACCTTCAATGAGTTACAAGTGAAATGGACTCTCCAAATATCTACCATTTAACCCTTCAGAAAAACTATTCTAGGAAATAAATATGGAGAGGAGGGAGAGGCCTCCTCTACCACCAGAAAATATACAGTTAAGTTCACCACGTATTTTATTATAAAAACTGAAAAATAGTGGTAAAAAATTCTAAGCTGGACAGGGTAAGAAGACAACAGTAGCAGGCACACCAAAAACCTTCCTGGCAAACTGTGAGATATGATCAACCATAGGCATTAAAAGTCACTAATAGTAAACAATGGTACATGCAATGACTTTGTTCAAAAGTAAGCATTTGTCTACATCTAAACCTGTAACATCTAGTTTAAGGGATACATATCTATAAAGCCCTTAGTGATGAATCATAATATTTTGTATCTGCTGTTAATGTCAGTGAGAAATGTCAATGGCAAACTACATTTTAAAACCTGTTGAAATATTAATTAGCCTTGTATTAGTAAATAGATACATATTTAACCTCATATTGGTAATGGATATATATTTAGTCTTATATTAGTAATGGACACATATTTAAAGCTGAAGAAAGGAAAAGGCTTAATTTCTGCTGTTCTAATATGTCAAAAATAAAGGTATGCAAAAAGAAATATTATTCCTATAGTTTCAAACTGCACACTTATTATTTTTAGGGCTTACAGAATTCTTAATTAAAATTTATATGTGAAACATTTTAAACCATATCCTTATATTTCAATTATGAATTTAAATTTTACAAAAAGTTTTTTTGACAGTAATAGCTAGTATATTTTTATCCCTTCCCTCTCATCTAAATAAACCTGTGAATGACAAAAACGTGTTTTAGGGCTAAAAATGCCAATCTACCTGCAGCTCCTTGGGGAGCTTCATCTGTCCGTGCAGCTGAAGAATTGACTGTCTCCTGGTTGCTTTCAGGGTCTGCCATTTTCTCCTGACGACGAGCTTCAGCTGCTCCTCTTTTGCCCAGGCCAGAGCCTCGCCGACTGCAGCAGAAAAATGTCATTATAGGCAGCATTACTAGTGAACCAGGAGCAATGTATAGACAACACAAAGCTCAAATTCATGAAGCACAAAGCCAGTTTCTTCGTCTTTTTAAATAAAACTTGCTACAGAAAATCGCCATGTGTAACAACCAAGACTTTGTATATTTAAAATTCTTCTAAGTTTTATTGCAGTTACAATACAAGCTTTTGTGTTACTAGGAGCTGTTGCCATCCTTAGAGCCAGAAATGATTTTTAAACACTTCCAACTAAATGGAAACATGACTCCTCCAGCAAAAACATTTAATTCATTTTAAAAGAGTACCACTTCCAGGGTAAATAGAGGATCATTATACTCAGGTCTGCAGACTAACACTGATAATAAGGGGAGAGGAGAGGGAGAAGAGAAAGATGGGGAAAAATTTCCATCCCTTATGCTCCAGTTTACCAAAATCATCCAAAAATAGCCATTCTAATAATGGACAATAACTCCATTCTTTAAAATAAAGAAGTATAGATTTAACATAAAAAAATACAAATGACTTTTGGGAAGACACTTGTTTAGGACAGAGGCACAGAACAAAATACAGAAAAAAGAATGATCATTTATTTCTCATGAAGAAAATTACATTTTATTGATGATAATCTTTTTTTCTATTTTAATAGTGAAATCAGTAAGTAATCAGGTAGAAACAAAAGACCCTCTCATCTCAATTATTACAATTTGATAATAAACAGAAGCTATCCAAATTACCTTAGAAAATGCAGAAACCTACTACTATAGAAATGTTTTAGACTAAAGTCACATAGCAGTGAAATGAGATAAGCAGGCACAACTGGGCTACATAAATGAAAGCTCTGACTTACTTGACAGCACTGGAAAAGTTTATTCTCCTTATTAGTGAAAAAATCTCCCTATACAGGGATTTGCTAGTCATTTCTTCACAAGGAAACAGCTCACTCCAAACCCAACTTACCAAACTAAAATTAGTGGAATTCAATGCATTCATTTTAACATCTAATCTGTGCCAACAAACTGGGTTGAACGCTTTGGATACACAGGGTTGCTGCGCTCAAGGAGTATTAGTCTAAAGAAACAACAACAGCCTCAGCGAGCAACCAAGGCACTATTTTTAAGCAGAAGCTCAATGGATTCCAAAAAGGTTTGTGAAGAAGAACAGTTCAGGCAGGTGATGAAGATGACTTATGCACAGCATGATGGTGCCTACACTAAGTAATTTCACATGTACTAAGTATGTGGTCTTGAGTAGAAAGAGGGCTGTAGAGAAAGGCATGGTGAGAAAATTTTAACACTAGATTACCTGATTTCGCAAACAGGTTAAATTAATTTTCAAACACAATTCAGTCTATATCTCACACTATAGACATTCAGTTAGTAAGATTCAAAATTTGGTTAGAAACACGACAAAAACTCAAAAAAAACTAACAGATTTCCTCAGATATCCTCTGCTAAGAAGCCTCAAAAGCAAGCTGATGTAATAAATCCAGACAATTTAAACAATTTAAAGAAATGGAAAAGAAGTAAAAGTACAGATTTTAAGTGGCAATCTCATGCTTTATAGGCAACAAGTCCTACTTTTTACTGATGTCACTAGTATACCACCACCAAGAGTAACCAAGAGTAGTCAAAAGACGCTATGCTAAAGAATAACCAAAATAAAGGGATATGCCCTTTCTACTAACCTGAATTAGAGTGGGGAAAGGCAAACTAAAATCATTTCTCTATCAATGATTTTTGCTGTATTTAGTAGAGGAACAAACTATAGTCACATATTATATAATGATATTTCTGTCAATGACTCACCACATATATGACAGAGGTCCTGTAAGATTATTAATACTGTATTTTTATTGTAGCTTTTTTATGTTTAGATGTGTGTAGATCCATAAATGCTTGCCACTGTGTTACAATTGCCTACAGTATTCAGAACAATAACATGCTGTATGGGCCACGCGCAGTGGTTCTTGCCTGTAAACTCAGCACTTCGGGAGGCCAAGGTGAGAGGACTGTCTGAGCCCAGGGGTTTGAGACCAGCCTGGGCAACCTGGTGAGACTTTGTCTCTACAATAAATAAAAAAAATTATCCAGGCATGGTGGTGCATGCCTGTAGTTCCAACTATTTGAAAGGCTGAGGTGGAAGGATCGCCTGAGCCCAGCAGATCGAGGCTACAGTGGTCATGAGTGTGTCACTGCACTCTAGCCTGGGGAACAGAGCAAGACTCTGACTCAGAAAAAGAAACATGCTGTACAGGCCCTATGGCCTAGGAGAAATACAGCCTATGTGAGTAGGAGGCTATACCATCTAGGTCTGTGTAAGTATGATGTTCATACAATTAAATTACCTTTGATGCATTTCTCAGAATGTGTCCTCCTCGTTAAGCAATGCGTGACTGTACATATAAAAGAGAACTTATATCTAGCTACTGAATAATTAGTAGTACAAGGGCACCTGACCAACTGACCAAGCATAAAAATCTGAGGGGAAATTGCAGGAAAAAGATTTTTACCTTTAACCTAAGACTCTCAGGTAACAAAGGTATATGAAATAATGAGCTGTGCCACATTAAAGGTAGTTGTCCTTTTCAAAATGAGATCTACAGCAACTGGGAGAAATTAGGCATTTAAGATTTGAGGAAATACACACAATACCTACACTTTTTCTTGAGGAGGTGCTGTAATACAAAATAAAAATTAAGAATATATCTACCCCTCATCCAGAAAACTTAATAACTAGTGCCAATACTTTCAGAAACTAATTAGGCAATATTACAGTCATTAAAACAAGCATCCCTTTTGATTCAGTAATCACACTACTGGGAAACTTAACTATCTTTTAAAAACAACCCAAATCTGCATACATTTGTTCATTAGAGATTTATTTGGCAGACTAGAACTCTGAAAGCAACCAGGGGTCCAATTACTGGCAATAACTCAGTGAAAATAGTGTAGCAACAAAGAAAAAGTAGTGTCAAAAAATAGCATGATTAAGATAAGTAAAAACATGTAAATAAATACTAAAGTTCACAAAGATAATAACAGATATGTTAGAATAAATGTTCAAGTAAAACGTTATTTTACATTAAAAAAAAATTTTTTTAAATATATAGAGTTAAAAATTTTGATGAAAGTTGAAACTGAGTAGGAGAATATAAGTAAACTCACCATAAACTGAAAAAACCCAAATTATTACCTGGTACTAGCACAGGAGCCCGTGGTCTTTTGACGTGTGCTCCGCCTCAAACTGGGGAGCTCAGCAGGTGGGGACTCACTTCGCTTCTTGGTGGATTTTCTTAAACCTATACATGAAAGTGCAAAAGTGAAATTTTTATAAAGAGAAATTATCATGAATTAAAAATTACAAAACTCTTCGGGTCATCATCTTGTTCAAAAGTCCCTGGAGGCTGGGCTCGGTGTTTCAGCCTGTAATCCCGCGCCTTTGGGAGGCTGAGGTGAGTGGATTGCCTGAGCCCGCGGGTTTGAGACCCGCCTGGGCAGCAAGACATCATCTCTACAATAAATCAAAAAATCAGCCGGGCGTGGTAGCGCATGCCTGTAATTCCGGCTACTTGGAAGGCTGAGGCGGAAGGATCGCCGGAGCCCAGCAGGTAGAGGCTGCGGTGGCTGGAAGCGGCCACTGCACTCCAGTCTGGGCGACAGAGTGAGACTCCAACTCAAAACAAAAACAAAAACAAAACAAAACAAAACAAAAAAAAGTCCCTGGAATCGTTCCACAGACTCTTTAGTAGTATTGCTTGATTTACTTCCATTGTCTGACTTTACTAAGCCTACTTATAAAGGAAAAACTAATGGTACTTGGCACTCCATTTCAGAATCAGTCTTCATTTAGGCCCAACTTTGACTCAAGTTACCCTGCACCATGTATGACAGTCTCGACTCTCCCAAATCATTCTCTTTACTTTTTATTTATTTTTTTATTTTTTGAGTCAGAGTCTCACTGACACCCAGGCTGGAGTACAGTGGCATGCCCACAGCCACCACAGACTTGACACATTGGGCTTAGGCGATCCTTCTACCTGAAGCAAGTAGCTGAAACTACAGGTGTGCACCACCACACCCAGTTAATTTTTATTTCATTTATTGTAGAGACGAGATCTCACCAAGTTGCCCAAGCTGGTCTCAAACCCCTAGGCTCAGGCGATCCTTTCACCTCCACCTCCAAAAGTACTGGAATTACAAGCGTGAGAGACAGCACCTGGCCCAAATCATCCTCTTTCAAAGTTCTTATTGCTCCACTAACCCTAAAAGTCAATTGATTGTTTTGTATACACCATATATTTTAAGAATGTATTAAGTTTCATTAAATTTACCAACTGTATTACACTGTTCTTACATTGACCCATTTCAGTTTATATAAACTCATCAATAAGGTGATGAGAAAACAAAATGGGTTATACCAGTCATTGGCAAGGAACATACACTTGAACTGAAGGATATTAGAATGTCCAATTTAAAGAATACTGTATAATAAGGAAGAAAAGACAATAAAGCACACTTTTGGAAGCTAACTAATGCTTTAACAGGTTAACAATTCTAAAGAGGTACAGCAATTAAACAAATTATTTTATGAACAATGAGAAAGCCATGACAACATCCATCCAACCCCTCCCCAACCCCCACAATGTTACCATACAGGATGACTTACTAGGAGGTGTGCACCGTCTAAACAAAGACCTCCAAATAGTAAAAGGTCTCCAAAGACAACAATCATATTTCCATGAGAACTGCAGCACCATCTTAAATCGATGTTAACTTTTTCAAAGATTAATTTATACAATTGATACAGGTCACTTTCTTCTGTCCAGGGAGCTTTAATTTTTGGCTATTTCATTGTTTTAAGGGGGGAAAATAAATTATTCATTCCACTGATTTTGTTAAAAGCATCAGTAAAGGATCTGGGAGAGAAGTGGTAAAAAGGATTCTAGATATCTTGATCTTTTAAGACGCTTAATTTAAAACTTCAGTTCATTCAACTTGGGATGTTCTTTATAGCATACATAAGAAGATGTGCTAAAGTGAAAATCAAATTATTCACGAATCTTTCAACACAAAACAGAAGCTATAGAGATAAAAATCTATGTTTCGACAGGAATTATAATTTAGACACATAAACCACACTTTCTGGGAGTTTATTAAAAAAAATTTTAGTGAAAGATTATCTAGATACCTGAAACTGACATAAAAGAACTGAGTTAAAACTTTAATTGAGGAAAAAAGATTGGCTTACATTTCTTAAATTTCAATTTTATTTTTAGGTTCATCTTCTCCATAGCATACTGCTACAATTTCTTGCTATGATAATATACCTAATATTCTGTGCTATTCTTTGTCAGGGCACACACCCCAGTCACCTAAGAGACAGAAAGGGCTAATAGACAGATCTATGGAGCCAGTTTAATATATTAAGCTAACAGATATCACTATTTTTTACTATGAAAAAAATTTTTTAAATACTATTTCAGAATACTAAATTATACTTATTATTTTTCTATCTGAATTGTGTCATTAAGTTAAAGGAGACTTAAAAATGTACAGTTTAGACCGGGCATGGTGGCTCACACCTACAATCCCAGTACTTTGGGAGACTGAGATGAGAGGACTGACTGAGCCTACGGGTTCTAGACCAGCCTAGGAAACTTGGCGAGGCCTCATCTCTACAATAAATCAAAAAAATTAGCCAGACGTGGTGGCATGTACCTGTAGTTCCAGCTACCTGGAAGGCTGAGGCGGAAGGATTGCCTGAGCCCAGCAGGTCAAAGCTGCAGTGGCTGGGAATGTGCCACTGCACTCCAGCCTGGGCAACAGAGTGAGACTCCAACTTAAAAAAAAAAGTACCATTTAGAGAGAAAAACCACAAGTACACATTACATTAAAACACTCCAAAAATCACAAAGTGCATTCACTTAACAAAGCACTTTAAAAACACTTGTATTATTGTCACTAATATTACTTAGTTCCGGGTTCATACTAAATCTTTATATTATACCATGGGCTGATGAACAGTATCACACATTTTTCCATCTACTTAGTGACATTTAAAATAAAATATTCAAATTAATGTATCTTAGGCTACTGCTACACTGATGATTTGAGGTAATAGTACACTTTTTAATCTAACTGGTTTTTTTTACGCCTTCACGAATCATGTCCTAAAATATACTTTAGTGTTTAACTTTCTTTTAAACTTTCTTCCATTATTATTTACATATGATAAAATACAACCAACATCCAATCAAGATATAGCACATTTCCATAACTCTAAAAAGGTCTTTCCTGCCCCTTGCAGTTAATCCCTCGCCCTCCCTTAAGGTCACTGACTTACTGATCTGTTTTCTGCTGTTATTCTGCCTGTATAGAATTTCATATAAATGACATCACATATCTCCAAATAAGTTGAAACAAATTTCATTTTTTTACACATATTAATAGTCAATTTCTTTTCACTGGTGAGTGGTATGCTTGTGTATGGATGTACCAAAATCTGTTTATCTATTCTTCATGTTAAACTTTAAGAGGACCATACTCTAGCCGGGTTCGGTGGCTCAGCCTGTAATCCCGCGCCTTTGGGAGGCTGAGGTGAGTGGATTGCCTGAGCCCGCGGGTTCAAGACCCGCCTGGGCAGCGAGACCTCATCTCTACAATAAATCAAAAAATCAGCCGGACGTGGTAGCACATGCCTGTAATTCCGGCTACTCGGAAGGCTGAGGAGGAAGGATCACTGGAGCCCAGCAGGTCGAGGCTGTAGTGGCCGAGAGCGGCCACTGCACTCCAGTCTGGCGACAGAGTGAGACTCCAACTCCAAAAAAAAAAAAAAAAAAAGAGGACCATACTCAGGGACAAGAGACTGGAAGAAAAACATTTGTAGCTGATGTCATTAACTCCATCCCTGATAAACTAAGAGGGATAACCTTCTGAGATAACATTTTGTAGTCTGAAAGGCAATCTCATGATAAAACAGCTGCAATGTATAATGCTCTCTAGTGGAAAAGAGGTATCATTATTTGCAACATTATCTGAATCCAACATGGAAGACAAAACTAGTTTATATATATATTTCTGCTCAAATCACTGGAATAGGGAAACACAAGCTGATAACTTCTCAGCATTTTTAAATAAACCAAGTCAAGACTTGGAAGGACTATATAAATTCCCTTGATGAATAATTCTTCCAAAAGTCTGAAGCATTTTGAGAAGATCAGATACAGCTGACATTCATGAAGAAAGGAAAGTGTACATTAAAGCAGCTTGGTGGGTCACTTTCTAAGAAGAAAAAGATAGCTTAACCTTTTTGGCCATTTAGCAAACAGACTATGATAGAATATACTACCCTTACAATTTTAAATTGCATTTTCAGATATATAGTTATGATAATACCTGTTTTCCAGATACAAAACAATATCTGACTTGCTTAAAGGTGCATAAGCCAGACAACTACACAAGTCCTAAGCTTATTTTGAAGCAAAAAGAACAGAAAGTAATAAATCTTAAATATAATTCTGGCAAGGTGTTAAAATTTTGCTTTACTGAATCTAAGTGAAAACTTAAAAACTGTCCATATACAAATATAGTATTTTGTATTATTGAAATATGTTTCCTTGCATCCTACTGGTCAAGCAAAGGGTATTTCAAAAGAAGGAACGTGGTAAGTGTATACCCACAATCTACTAAAAACCAATAAAATACATGTACATGAGTACACACACATGCATGCACATACACTCTCCTCTTTACCCAGCTCTGTAATACAGCAAAACTATCATCTATTTTTATGATGCCACTCTGTAAGCAACCAGAATATCAATGGTCAGATTAATATTCCTTTTTTTTTTTTTTTTGAGTTGGAGCCCAGGCTGGGCTCGAGTGCAGTGGCATGCTCACGGCCACCCCAGCCTCGACCTGCTAGGCTGGGGCGATCCTTCCACCTTAGCCTCCCAAGTAGCTGGAACTACAGGCACGTGCCACCACGCCCAGCTAATTTTTTGATTTATTGTAGAGATGAGGTCTCGCCAAGTTGCCCAGGTTGGTTTCGAACCCGTGGGCTCAAGTAATCCCCTCACCTCGGTCTCCCAAAGGCCTGGGATTACAGGCTTGAATCATTGCACCTGGCCCAGATTAGTTATTTCTTAACCACAAAATCTTTGTGTGAGAAGTCAGGTATAAATGTAAACATACTACTTTTCTCAAAGTTCTTGACCTTACTATATTGGTATAAGAATATACGCACTTGTGCCCATAATCTTTTAATTCTCTGGATAAAGATAAAGCTGGCTGATCTAAA